ATATTAAAAAAAATTTGTGACTCTCTCTATAGGCCTCAGAAACAGGGTGGGAGTAGGGAAGTGAACATTTATTAATTTTCAGTTTCCTTTCCAAGTCTAAAATTCTGTAACTTTACAGCATAGTTGGCCCTTGAACAACATGGATTTCTTCTGTGCGGGTTCATTTATGTGTGGATATTATTCTGTCCTCTAATTCTGCATTCAGTGGATTCAAAAAACTGCAGATGGCATCACCGCAAGATTTCCCCCACCGTGACCCCCGCTTCCCCACATAGCTCAAGGGGAGCTTTACATGACTTAAAAAACAAATTAGCAGCACTTCCTAATGTACCTCATCCTTACCTTTGTAAAAAGTAGGTAACAAATTGTATTAAAAAGCTTCTATAGAACAAGCAAAGGGCTCAGCAAAGTTCTGGCGCAAAGCAACATAAGGAAACCCTTCTTCAAGGGGGTTTAGAGAACTTGATCTACCCCTTCATCATCAGAATGACTGACATCACTGACTTGATTAGAAAGGCTACTTAGCAGCACTATTTACAATAGCCAAGCTATAGTATATAGTACATTCACAATACTGTAGAGGGGATCCTTATGCTTTCTTTTTTTTTTTTTGATCCTTATATTTCTAATACACAAACAATAATGTAAACCAAAGTTACCTTAAATACACACACATATGATATACATATGTTTTATATAAAATATGTATTTTATACATTATATATATTAAAGAAAAGGCTATATTTAAGTGAAATCAATGACAAGGAATAAAAAAGATTTGGGGATAAACTAGGAGTTGGTAAGGTACAGAGAATGAATATGAAGGGAAAAGGTTTTTTTTTCATGCAATAAGAAAAATATTAGGGAATAAAGTGCATTAAATAGGAGAGGTGTGGAAGTTGTAATCTGAAGATGAAAAGGAAAACAAGACTATCACAGGCTCAGATTTTGCTGTTTCTAAAACAACTAAAAAGATAAAAAAGTAAGATTTTCATGGCAGCATACAGAGTTAATGTTAAAAATGAAAAATATTAGTGGATGGCTTGTTTACTTCATCTGGGTTCAACGACTCAAGTCATTAAGGGTGCAGGCTAGGGTCATGGTTATCACCTGAGTTGATGGGAGGGTTTCGGATAACATCAGCAATAATCTTCTGAACCTCTGGAGTCAGGCCTGCTCGCTCCATATCAACAGGGTAGCCAGCTTTCACCGCTTGGGATAAGTGCATGCCAACTTCTGTGAGAGGCAGGATTCTATTCTCAGCTATATTCTTCTAGAGAAACAACAGCAAAATAGCCAGTAAGTTTTACAAGTTCCCACTACATTGGAAATAAAATGTACAAAACCTTCAGGAAGTAAATTCATTGAGAAATAAACAATGAACTAAATCTTCGCTTAAAAATTTTAACTATTTCTTTAAAACTACCCACATTAAATTTCACAGGTTCTACTCCTTATACTTATTATAATGAATAAAACAAGATCACCCAGGCTTAGATAAGAAATCAATCCTTGTCTGTCTGTTGTTACTCACTTTCAAACCTGCTAGGTAGCAGTGTAGTCATCTATAAGTCTAATGGCTACCAAGCTTTTGAAAATACAGAAGAGTATAATTCAATATTCTATGTATGTGAAAAAACACACATTACTTTAGCTACATGAATTTCCAAGACACAAATTTTAAATAGCTTGAGGATAATACAAGTCTCCAGGTACATTCTATAAAAAGTTCCTGAGAAGATTTTAGGAGGTGTTTTCAATTGGGTCTGGTCATAAAATAACAAAACACAACAAGGGCTGTCACTACTTTCCTAATACAGAACTTAACATGAATTGTGTCAAATTTACGACAGTGTTACAAATTTATGTGGCTTTTTACACAAATGCAGCTTCAAATCCACTTAAGATGTGCATTAAGTAACTTAATGCATTTTTTTAAACTCTCAGTTTAGTCACTCAGCTTCTGTTTCATTATTCTCTATTTTAATACACTTGGAAAGAATGAATTTGGATTGCATTTGTAAGAATTTTGATACTTGCACAATATAGAATATTTACAGCAGTATTTTCACTCTTCAAAGATAAGTTGTAAATTACTTTCATTAAATATCTACCCTTTTTCTACTAACCATTGTGTACCATGTGTGCATAATATCAGTTATTTGATACCAGGCATCAAATTACCTAAAACTAAATTGTATTATTGCTCCTGATTAATTGGTCCGCAGGTATGTTTAATTTGTGGTTAACTCGCAAATCCTCTCAGACTCCTGGGAGGTACATATAAAAACACCATATTACAAAATAAAATATAATCAAATGATAGCAAAATCTTCAAATATGAAGCTATACTACTCTTTATATCCTTAACCATGCATCTCTAATAGCATGCATGAAATCTTCTATTATAGCTATACCAGAATTCATTTTAATCAGAAAACTAGGAAGTAACACTACACAGATAGTCAAATTACACATATACAAGCATATTTAACACATATATGTAAACTACCATTTAAATAAGAGACTAACTTGAAATTTCTATTTAACAAGTGATTTGTTTCAAAAATAGTAAATGGAATTATTAACCTTCTTGTAAATGGCTTTTGGATTTTTAATTAAGGAATTTGACTAATTAGAATATCTACTAAGTGATTAAGAAAGGTTATAGACTATTTTTATTAATAATAGGCCTTAGCCAGAATTGAAAGTGTGTTAAATAACCTACTAGATAGAGACGCAAGGATTAAAAAAAGTAGGCACTGGACCAAATAACTTGTTCCAAATCAATTTAATGTTACAAAGGATAGGAATTCAAATTAGTTAAATTTAGCTGGAACTCTCATTCTGTTCCTATTCCATTACGATATACTCTCCATTTTATACATTAAAAAATCTTCAACAGCTTAAGGATTTATACCAGGACAATGAACACATTAAATGTGACCATTTATCATAACAGATATTTTTTAAAGAGAATTAGGTATGGTTTAAAAAATAGAACACTAGCAAATGTAAAGTAAAAAGCAAGTTTTTTTTTTAACTTATGTGTAGCTTCTTGAACATTCAGAGACACTATGCATTTTTATATACATAAACAAGGGTGTATGAATATAGAAGCATGCATATATACACAGACACATTCATGTTTTTCACACTGCTCTGCATCTTCCTTTTTTTACTTAGTAATATCTCTTGAAGATTATTTCTTATCAATATACATACTAATAGTCTTATTTATTTTTTTTATACTAATAGTTTTAAACCATTAATTCCATTTTTTTAAAGCTTTAAAATATGGTTAACTGTAATATCCCTAAGGTGTCAATATGTTTATCAGTACCTGTGATACACAATGGTCAAACTTTATTTACTATTTCAACTTAATTGGCAAAGGTAAGCTCAGCAGAAAAAGAGAATATTCTGTAGTAAAAATAAACATGAAATAAAACAATACAAAATATCAAAGGATTTGAAGAATTTTATCCTGAGACACACCTGTAATATTGGAAACTGATAAAACATGTTTAGATCAATTTAAATATTCTCTCTAAATGGAAAGTAATACTTACCAAAGACATTTTCTTTCCTTCAAATAAAGAATATGTGATGGCTGCAGAATCTGAAAGTGAGCAGGCTTCATTATTCACCACCAGACTTTTCTTTTGCCCTTCCTGAGGTTCTGTGCTTGAAAAGACGTCTGTCTACAAAATTTTCAATGTAACAAATGATGATTACTATTATCAATATAATGATAGATCAAATATCAATATTACCTTTAGGAATTGGGGAAAAATACAAATATAATTTCTAAGAACAGTCAGAAATTCTCCTTTTTTTTCCTAATAGATATAAAAGGGCAAATATAGATAGAGGGAATGTTACTAATAAAATATTCATAATAGCAACACGGCCATAGAACTACAAATTCCTAGTCTCCCCTTTAATCAGTAAGAGAGAATTAAAATTAAACTCTAAGGTACACTCTACTTCTAAAGTAGTTCCTAGTTCCCTGGGAGTGAATATTGAATGAATTCATAAAGAATCTTAATTAAGTGTGATACTGTAGTTATAAATTTTGCATATATAGTAAAGAAATACATTACGACTATATACATAAAGTTAAAAACAGATACATAGAAACTGTGGCTCTAAACTTAAAAGTAGTATACAAACTCTTAACTATGGTTCCTCCAAAGTTGTTTAAAATAAAGAGGGGGTAGGATTGAAAAATAAGAATAATAAAGAAATACTGGAGTTTTTCTAAAGCCTGAAAGGTAAAGAACATTGATAGTTATGATAGAATTATGATATATGATTCACATATATGAACAGTTTCCCTGCAAAATGCCTTTAATTTCTAAAACATAAAAATCAATACCAAATTAAAAGACTTAATCCAATGGAACTTGGTTTATTATAACCCATGCTAGTCCATTCCTACTCTAAACAAAAAGTGAATTTGTAGATTAGTTTGAAGATTTCCTGGGACAACAACTGCTTGGTCAAACAAAGAAATCATACCATGCCACAAGACCAAGGGTCTCCAGGTTATTTCTATGAACATCCAGATTTTTGAAGGAAGGATAGTTGTTATTAAATGAAAATGAGTGTTTGTAAGCCCTAATACTGTCAGGTATGGGCTTAAATCTAGGAATGCCAAAAATCAAAATCCCAGGACTACAGTATAGTCTATACTTGAATGCAACAATGGCATACTCCAATGCCAAGATGTTGGAAATATGACTACTGTGAATTACATCAGCAAATCCATGAAGATTTCAGGATTTATGGGGCAAAATCATATGAAGTATGACTAAAAGGTTTAAAAACATGCAAAATATGCAGCAAAGTAATCTAAGTAATAATTTCAAGGAAGGGTTAGAATGTGATTCTAATAAGCAAAAATCTGATCAAGTCATATATGTACAAAAGATTATGTGAACAGAAAACGATCAATTAGCAGAAACATCTAAATAGAAAAGGTAGAAGGGCAAAAGCAGGCAAAGCCTACCCAAGTAATACCCAGATGAGAAGACATTCTGGCTAGTTAGGTTTTAGTAGTGCAGTTCCCTTGGTAAGCAGTGGATGAAAATGCCTCAATCTGTCTTTGTTGCGAAGAGATTACTTTAGAAGCTATCAAAATTTCTCTTGTTATATACACGATTTGCTAAACTTTCAGGTAAGTAAGCTTCCCATATAATTCTTCCACAGAAGAGAATACGTTGGTTGGATCAAGTAAAACTTAGTTGTATTTCTCACTATAAATTAATGAATTTGCATTCCCATATATACTCTTATATTTACATATACACACACACATACATAAAAACTAAGTTCATAGAGAAGGATAATGCAAATCTACTCTCCAAAACACACTACTCTGTGATGACAAGATACACTGGACTTTAAGATTCTAAGGCTGAAGCCTGAAACCCTAGCTTAGACCATAACAGATGCTACAATGTGAGTAGCCAGCTGGCATTCCCAGAAAATACATATTTGGTCTTCATGCATGTTTTTTAAAAACTGCAGTACATACCATTCTCAAGCCTTAAAAATAGGACTAGAAACTCATACACCTGGCTCTGTTTTATTTAGGCATATTATATGCTCAGAACACCAAATTCCAACTGCTATATTTGAGTAGAATTATCTTTTTTTGTGTTGACATAAAGTAATATTCTTTCACATACAAACTAAAATCAAAAAAGGTTTAGAAAATACAATTTTGCCTTGAGTCAGATCACTCAAATTTATAATAAGGAATCATATATATAACATGGAAAAAGTCAAACACAGACATTTATTTTTATCTCTCAACAGTGAATACAATTTAAAATCCCCAAATGGGGTCTTCGTGGTGGCGCAGGGGGTTGAGTGCTGCACTGTGAAGTTGTCCACAGCCTCTGCAGTGCCGGTTTGACACCCGCCGGCCGCGGAGATGCCCACATGGCACGGCAGACCTCTCCTGTCTCGCCCGCTGTTCCCCTCAGCAGTGTGTTTCAGTCAGTCTGCCTGTTCTGTTCCCTGCTTTGTCTCTAGTGAATCCTCCTCACCCTCCCGCACATCTGGCCTGTACCCCAGTTGTTGTATAAATAAATCTTTAAAAATTAAAAATAAATAAATAATAAAATAAAATCCCCAAATGACAGGATATGGAAACAGAAGTGCTTGACCAAGAAAAATATAGATATATATTTCCTCCTATATTTATATATAATATCATAGACCATAATAGTAAATAACCTTATCAAAAAATTGCCAATATTACTCATCCAGGAATTGGCTCTTTTTTTAACTGTTTTTAATTAGGCTGTTACTTGTTTTATTATGATTACAGTATGCTGTTTTAATCTACTTTTGATGTGCAGTAAAAAAAGTAGTTTATCTCTTTTTTAGGCTTTTCTAAATAGTTGGCAAATATGAATTAATCTTTGGAGAAGGGTGGACATTTTTAAAGCACCATAATATTCATAAAACATATGTCTATAAAATGATTTTAACATAATTCTCCTAGTCATTTTAATAGGTTTAATACCCATACCCTCACATTTGATTTGTATTATGACAAAATGTATTATGACAAATTGTATTTGCTTTTGATTTGTATTATGACAGTATTTAATTTTACTTCAAAATTTTAAGTAGATATACTAAAAGCTTAATGAAAGTGATTATTAAAATTAGCTTAATAAACATTTGATATTATTAATTTATGTCTTTAATAAATGGTTTCAATATGCATATCAGTGTAAGCAAAATTCCTAACCACAGAAATTAAAAGTCATTTTTCCTATTCAGAAAGTTCAAAAAGTTTTGTACCAATCCTTTGGAGCATTTACCTACTGTCCTACTTCTATTCATCTCTGGAATAGGGACTGAGAGACTAATTCCCTCATTATTAAATAATATCACAAATTCGGGGCCTCCCTGGTGGTGCAGGGATTAAAGACAGCACTCAAGCTATCGCCAGCCACTGCGACATGAGTTCAATCCCTGGCCAAAGAGCAAACCACTTGGCCCAGCAGACCTCTCCTGCCTTGCCCGCTATTCCCCTCAGCAGTGTATTTCTGTCGCTCCACCTGTTCTGCTCCCCATTCTCTCTGGCAAATCCTCTCACCTGCTGCACCTCTGGCCTGTACCCCAGTTCTTGTATGCATAAATAAATCTTTAAAAAAAAAATAACGCCACTAATTCATGAAAGAAGATATTTCCTTCAAATGGCCAAAGAGAGGAAAACTTATTTAATTATCACTAGTGAGTATGGTATTCTTTATTGAATTGCTAAGATGTTAATTTCATTTTCAAAATATCCAAAATGAAATATAAAGAATATTCACATGCTGTCTTGTATTAGAGTATGAAAAGAAAAATTTTATTTGCTAAAGATATTCTATGTCAAAAGAGGGAAATGCTATATACGAAAAGTGGAAACGTTTCCTACTAATAAACATAGTCAGGCTTAATAATGTATTGCCTATTTTTTAACTCTTTCTCCAACTTTTTATACACATCCCATATCTTTTATCAATTTATCTGTTGTTTCCTCCATATGGGGAAAGGGAGTATCATTTCCATTGTGTAGGTGAGGAAATGTGACCTAAAGAAATGAAAGAACATCTTCAGATGCTATGGGTAAAGTATTACAGAATTAAAATCCTGATTCCCTGAGTGACCCCAAATCCAGCAGCCTTCCCACCAACTCACATCGCCTCCCTTTCGGTGCTGACATACACAGAACAGTAGAATCTATCTGTGGCTTTTAAAGAAATAAACCCTTATGGAAATGGTCATTTAGTGGTCAAGCAAGAAGTAATAAAAAGATAAAAAGAAAACGTTACTAACTCCAAAAAAAACATGAAATCTACTTAATATCAAAAGACATGGAAGATTAAGGTTCTTAGGGATTACGACAAACATTAAGAAAAATAGAAAAATAATTAACATTAGATAGCAGGGATAACTGCAACTTTAGTTTCTATGTACATTTGAAAGTAAAAGAATTTATCAAGCTAAAAAACAGTATTTATTCAAATTTTAAAATTCCTGACAAATTATAAAGATATGACCAGCATGGACAACTACTTCAGTATCATAAAAATGAGGTAATTAATTTGTTTTTATAGCTGAATTACTGAAAAACAACCTGAATTTCTTTTTTTGCATAGAAATGGGGTGTACACCAGAGGGGGGAGTGTGAAAGGATTCACCAGAGACAGAGTGGGGAGCAGAACAGGCAGATGTACTGAAACACACTAGAGACAGAGTAGGGAGCAGCGGATGAGACAGGAGAGGTCTACTGTGCCATGTGGGTTAGCTCCCTGGGAGGGGATTGAACTCAGGCCATAGTGGTGATAGTGCTGAGACTTAACCCCTACACTACCAGGGAGGCCCTGAATTCATTTTCAAAGTGTCCAATAACAGAAATAAAATAAGACAAATATTGTTTTCAAAGAGCGTTTTTAAAATTGTCAAAAAAATGTGTGTCTCAGAGCTTCTGCAAACCATAATACTTTACCTGAATACTATTCATTTGACAGAAACATTTGATGACTTCCAACAGAGGGGCCAACATAGTAGCTTTGCCTTCAGAAACACCATCAATCCTTTTCACATTTTCTACCGTAGTGGGTCTAAGGAAGTCAAGAAACCATTGGAGCATTATCACTCCTGCACATATTTGGCTGTATTCAGCTTCATAATGATGCTCAATAAATATATACTGTTCCAACAACCAAAATCAATATATAATACAAAATCCTGTTTTATAATCTTTCTTTACTTTCCACCATTTAAAATGTGCTGTTTTAGTTATATGAATAAAAACCCACCTACCACCATCAGCACACAAAACATAGTACTAACTAGGAAGCAGATCAGTATCATAAAGAGACTAACACCTAATGTCCTACTTCATCACTGATATTATTATTAATAGGAAAAGAAAACTATGAGGCTCTGCAGAGAAGTAAAAAGCTGAGTCTTATTCATTTATAAAATACTTACCTGTAATAGTAAACCTAATTACTTTAGGCTTTTTACTCACTATTTCTTATTCCGTCTATTACCTAGGAGATTGTATGGTGTCTTCTTTCTAAAAAATTGCCAGTTGAATATCCTTTTATTTTAAGTATCTTCTTATAATATTAAAGTGTCATCTTAAAATATTTATGTTGTTAACAAAACATTTATTTGAACATATAAACTCAGGGCCTCCCTGGTGGCACAGGGATTAAAGTCTCAGGGCTATAAAGCTATCGCCAACCACTGCACATGAATTCAATCCCTTGCCAGGGAGCTAACCCACATAGTGCAGCAGACCTCTCCTACGTCACCCACTGTTCCCCTCAGCAGTGTATTTCAGTGGTTCTGCCTGTTCTGCTTCCTACTCTGTCTCTGGTGAATCCTCTCACTCCCTGCACCTCTGGCCTACACGCCAGTTCTTGCATGTATAAATAAATAAAAATAAATCTTTTTTAAAAAAGGATATAAGCTCAATTAATATCATTAGAATACTCTGGACTAAAGTAAAATCTTTTGAAAAAATTTAGTGATAGAAATAATCCTTTAAAAGGAAACAAAAGACAAATATAACTACCAATTATTCTTTGGAAATAATTTATTCTAAAATATTTATTGATTACACAAAAAGGTAAGGAACAAAGTATTTTTATTCAGAGTTAAAATCTAGAAGACACATCACATGTATACTTCTAATAACAATAAACAGAACCTTGGGTAAGTGCCATCTTAGAATTTCACTTAAAAGTCTTTTATGAATTCCAGAGAGAATTACTTTGCTGATGAGAACATGGAAGATTCATGGATAAAACAGTAGTAAAACTAAATATTGAAGAATTTCCTAACAGTTTCAGGGAATCGAGGAAACTACAAAGCAGAAGCAACATTGTCATTCAGTATATGGAAGTTGAAAAGGGGTCTTTAACACATTAAACAATCTATGTAAGATAAATCATTCAAAATTCTGCAAATTAGAGTGAAAATTAGGTTTAAGCTAATAAATGAAGAGTCTTGAATGGTAAGCTAAGGAAGTTAAGATAATGGGAACCAGAGGGAGGAAGGCACAGGCAGACACTCAAGGAAGGTTTAAATGAAAACAGTTTTTTCTAAAAACTACTTTAAAAAGGGGGAAATGGGAATATATGTTAGAGAGGTGAAAATAATGATGGTTTTAAACATATATAATTGGGAATAAAAACATAGAATTCAGAAAGAAGAGTTTTGGTACCCATATAACATGCATGTGTGGAGGGTTGGTGAATAATGAGTTAGATTTTCAAATATACAGGACTTGATTGCTGAAAATGGGTGGTTTTTCATTCATATAAATTAGAGGGACTAAAGTTCCACAGAAAAATCAGTGGAAGCAGCATGGAAGATTTGCAAGCATCTCACAAATGTGATTGCTGAAGCCACAGTTATATCATCATTTAATCTATTTTGCAAATCTGTTGTATTAGAAGAAAACAAGTAAGAAGTGTTTACCTCATTTTTGCCATGTCCACCAATATCTTATTTGTTGCCAGAATAGCTGGAGGAACATCCATTTTATTGGCATGTTTTTGCCTAGCTTCTACCAATTTGCCATACAACACAGTCTGAACAAAAAAACAGACAATTTTTTTAAATACACTTAGAAAAATGCAGTCTGTTATTTTTAGAGTTTTAGATATCCTTAGAATGAAAATAACTCTAGCTCAGACTCTCAGCTAAAGAACAATTTATAAAATAGTGGCAACAGAATTCTAAGCATGCATACAATTGTAATTATTCTCTCATACTGAAAGACTTACCTGAGTCTCCTGTTCTTGAGCAGAGATAACAGTTTCTGAGAACTTGTAATATTTTCCTGATGATTGCACCATGATACTAAAACATTGGAAAGAAAATAAATAATAAAAATTTTTCTTTCTCCTAGTTCACTTTTATTCCATCCCCCACCCTCACCATGAGACTATCTTTCCAAGTCAATAGGAACATTTATTCCTTACAATATCAGTAAGGCAATTTTTTGACAGCTTAGATTTTAAACATTTGTATCAAATACATTCATCATAATGATAAACTTAAAACTACAATTTGAATTCATCACAAAATTGGCATAGTTAAAAACAGCATTTGTCCCATCATCCTCCTTAACCAAATGCTTTGAAAGAAAACACACTTTTATCTGTACTGCAGATTACATTTTTTTTAACCAAGAGGGATATAAGCTATAATTCTTGCTGTGATATTATTAATTCTTGGTTCATGAGGTGCATTAGGATGGGATTAACCAAATTATTCACAATTTTCTTCAAAAATCAAACAAAAACAAGCCAAGAGAAGCAATTTTGCTTTTGATGCCTCAAAAAAGTAATTAAAAATACCCAATTATCAAGCAACACTGTACAAAAGGTGCTAGGTTGTAAATTAGATTAAAGACCTACTTTCTACAAGAGGCATTTCTTCTTGATAAATTAATTACAAATAGGAAAAGTTATATAAATGAAATTTTATAAACTAGCAGATGTAAAAAATGCCAAATAAAAATAAGTATCTGCTTTTCTGCAGGGGGATAACAAGTCTGATATTTAAGAAGTATTTATAAATTTCTCTGCTGCAAGAATTCAAAATCTATAGCATAATGTAAGACTTCACTTTCACAATTATCAAGTCCTATCACTAAAACAAGTAAGAGTTGAACCTAAAGATCACTCCAGTTCAAAGAATTAGTACTATCTCAAGACAGTTATGAATTTACTTTAAATTATATAATTATATTCACTTATTTTAGTATTTATGGAAATCTTTATAGCAATGTAATATATGCAAAATAATATTTTAAATTTTTTCACAGAGAAAATATTATCTATACTGGCAAAAAATCTGGATAATATGCCTCTGAAGTAGAAATATATTTGGAAAACATTTAATAAAAAATGCTTTTGCCTGTGAATGCTATTATAAATATACAGATGGAAAGTTTGAATATTATTAAAAGAGATAAGCAGAGATACTATATCCATGAAACAAGAAAGGATTGTTGTATATTAGTAAAGAAACAAAAAGAGAATAATAGTTCTTAAAATTAAAAATTTGCTAATAAAAATTTAAATTTCACTATATCAGAGGAAATATAAAGTCAACTTTCCTAATGAATAAAAAGAACTTGAAAATGGGAGAAAAGCAAAGTTAGCAACAAAATGACTAAAAACCAAGCAAGGAAAAAATTAAAAAGATCAGACGAAAGAAAAATTTCTATAGAGACACTAAAAAGAATATCAAAACTACAAATGGACAACTATTAACATCAAGGGAAGTTAAAGTAGTAGTGGTCATAAATCACAATTTGGCTTAGGAGCATGATATTAAAGTATATTATAATTTGTTTTTATATTCTATTACCTGCTAACACAAAGAAAACTTGACATATTTATGTTAGAGAACAAAGATTGAAGGAAGGAAGGAAGAGACAGGGATATGGGAAATAAACTTTAATCTACCATGACAGGACACAAGCAGAAAATTTCTAAAATTATTAAGTAAAAAAACAGTAATTTAAGAATGTCACTTAGAGATATGTAGGCAAATACCAGAGACACCAGTTGGAAAATCTGAGGGTAACTGCTACTATAGAACAGCACACAGTGGGTTTGGGAAGGAAGTGAAGTAACATGTTTTGTTCAAAGCTTTTAGCAACAACTGACTTTTCAAACAATGTATGTGTATTATTTTAATGAAAATGCAAGTCATTTTTATAATAACACCTATTGATATGAAGTATCTCTCTCATTTCTAACCCGATATGAGTATTAATTTCTGGTCAAATCCACAGATATCTCAAACTCACTATGTCTACTCCCAATTTTAACCTTATAACCCTTCAAACCTTTCTTCCTCATAGTTTGTCCAGTGAAGGGAATGACATCACTCATATCCACCAATCAAAGACAGAATCCTAAACATTTTCAAGTACATTTTCTTAACCCACTTATTTTTTCAATCACCAAGTCTTAAAAATTCCATCTCCTAAATATAGAATCTATTAGAAATCTATTTCTCTCCAAGCCCACTGCCACTTCCCTTGTCTAACTACCATTATTCTCAAATGTTTTCTGCAATAGCTTCCATATTTGTGTCTCTATAATAGAATCTCCTGCAGTCCAACCCATTCATCCAAAGTGAGAGTCATCAGTCAAGGGTCAGCACTCGGGTGTGGCCTGGGTCAAGTCCATCTGTTCTGGTAGAGTTTGTAAGCTAAGAATGTTGTTTTGCATTTTTAAACGGTTAAAAAATTAAAAATATTTCGTGGCTTATGAAAATTCTATGAAATTCAAATTTCAGAGTCTGTAAAAGTCATAAATAAAAGTTTAACAATAAAATTATGTTTAAATGAAGAAATGTTTTAAAATACTGAATGGATATATTGCTTTACATACTCCTTAAGCCTTGAGTTTACATAAAAAACAGTAATCACATATCACAGAGCCAAGCAAAAAAGAGACTGGTGTAGGAGACTGACACTATGGTAAACATTTTTGTTATATTCATAGTATTATTTAAGTGAGGAAACCATAAGAAAGTAACAGTTTTATAGCACATTAATTTACTTTCACTGGATTTGACGTAAACATGGTCTATTTAATTTGTGTATAGACACTAAGTTTTTCAAATTCTCCATCTTCAGATCTTCTGTAATTCTGTACATTCATCATGCCTTTATTAAGTCACTTGCAAGTCAATTAAGCTTAATTACAAAAGATGCATTCAATACCTTTATTCTTTACAAGCTGTACCATTTTATGTTCCCATAGTCTTATTTTTGCAAATGAAGTGAGAATATATATTCAATACAAATGAAGTGTGTAGATGCTAGGGTTATACAAATAAGATTTGAAAACCAGCTCTGCTGTTAGATATATGCTCTTAAACAAGTTAAGTTCTTTATCCTTCAGATGAGTTAAGATGGATGTAAATAATGGTAACTCATAGATTGCTGTAAGAATTAAATGAGATATTACATATAAAATGCTTAGCATTTAGCATAGAACCTAGCAAACAACACCCAAAAGTGTTAGCTAATAAAGTAATGATTAAAACCATTTTAATAATACTGAACTATTTTAATAATACTGAAGGCTCAGGTTTTAACTTTACCTCATTCTGTCAATGAAATAGCCCACCATCTCACAGACTTTTCTTTTCAGGGAGGAAAGAAAAAACATGATGATAAAGTAAGTATAGAAAATGGAAATTTTGAGTGAATTCTGTACCTTTTTTTAGGACTGCCAGAAGAAATTTTATCACGTGTTTTGTAAGAATACATCTTCTCCAAGTCTGGCTGTTTTTAAACATACAAAGATCCATTTCAAAAAGTTAGATGTTTTTAAAATTTTTCAAATATGAAGAAAGTAAGACACAAAATCTCACAATGACAATTTTTCTCTGACTAACCAAGTCACCAAATACATCACCAGAAAATAAATCATCAACTTCTAGGCTATAAAGACTATTAGCAATGCAACCAATGTCCTTTTCTCCCTAATCTATAGAGAATACATAATAGGAAAAATGCTTTGAGACACAGTGAAAATCAAAGTCACAAAAATGATTCAATTAAACACTCTGCATACTTCCATAAAGCAAAAAAAGTTCACTAGAAAATTTAACTTGTCCATTACCCTTTAGCTGATGATAGCATATAAGTATTTAATCTGTAAAAATTATTAAAGATCCAAAAAAATGCAAGAAAAATGTGTGTGTATATGCATATAGAACTTCAATGAGAATATTTAAGAATCAACTATCAACTATAAGGATCACAGTATAAAAAATCTAAGCCAAATATTTACAAATATATGTTTAAAAGAATTAAAATAAGTTACTTCAAATATTCCTAACTATACTATTAACCTCATAAATCAATTATTACATATTTTATTATGATCATATCAGCTTTCTTTCCAAATTTTGTTTTTGGTTGTATATAGCATTCACCTCTTTAACTGGAAAGAAATGAAAATATAAAACTTTAAGAGTAATTGTATCAATAAAGAATGAAATAAATACAAACTATTGATACTCTTTGATGAAAACATACCTTATCCTCTGCAGTTAATTTAACTGATACTTGAATAGAGGAATGCTGTTGAATTCCTGGGGATACAGTTTTAGAACTGAAAATTAATAAAATTAAGTTATCACTAATGTTAAAATGCAAGTATCTAATTCACAAATATCACATATCGACTCTAAGAAAGGCAGATGAGATTAATCTATTCTTTTAGAACTCTTGATTTTTTTATTTTTTAGAGAAATCTCTGGAAGGTTTGTTTGAAGTAAATGATAAATGATCAGCAACGCATACAGAAAGATATTAGTGGTAGGCAATAAGAACATTCCTTTCCATATTGCACAGAAGAAATTGTGGTATATGGTTTCTTCAACATTCATCTCAATGCTGCTTTTTTAATCAATAGAAAAACAGCTTTTCAAACACTATACTCACTTACTTTCTATCAACCAAGAAAGTATTCTATGATTTACCTTTCTCTCTTTGTCCCCAAACTGACTAACAGAGGTACTCAAAAACAGTATCTTTACTCATTTTACCTGATACCTATAAACTGTTATAATTTGAGTCACTTAAACAACAAAAAACCCAGAAGTTTAAAAAAAAAAAAAATGAACCTTGATGGAAGAAACTTCCTTGGACATAATTCTTCATTAGCCTGAAGAAGAAGTTCCTGAGGAGATTCTGATTTGGCTTTATCAAGCCAATTTCTACCCTATTAACACAAGAAAAAGCTCTTAAAGTATAGTAAGAAAAATGAAACCAAACAGGTAGACTTATACATTGTTTACCTTTTTTGTAATTTTGTAAATCCTTGAAAATCTGTTGCATCCAGAAACTTCTACCAAGAAACCCTCAGTCAGCAGTTGATGGGAAAGAGCTGTCCACCAACTCTTTGTATGATCCTTGCCAGAGCCAAACAAATTGTGACAGCGATATTTATTTTGAAGACGCTGGGAATTCTCAAATTGGAAATAAAATCAACATGTAAAAATCATTATTTAAACAAAACAAACTAACAAAACACAACAAAAATAACTCTGGGACTCAGAAAAATGTAGCAGTTACTAGGAGGGCTAAGGGAAATGGGAGGAATGGGCAGAGGGAGTCAATTTGACAGTGTGAATGCACTAAACTTTGGTGGGAGATGCACTGAGGTATATACACATATTGGGGTATATTCCTGAGGCTATACTACTCCTGAAACTTACATAGCATTGTAAAGGCATGGAAAAATCAATAAAACTTTATTTAAAAAGATAAAATTTTAAATGCTACGGTTTAACTGATCAGCTTAAGTAAAACACAAACCTTCTATTGATTCTTCAGACTTAATATTAAATTCCAGTTTTAAAAACCTACAAAATTTTAAACCTATCATACATAAATATATAAATCAATATTTTGTGTTTAAATAAAAGTTCATGTAGTTCATGTGCACCTCCCAATGTATAGGTTGAATATATTTGGACTATTTAACCATAGATATTTTGACCTTTTAGTAACATATTTATATTATTGTTTAAAAGTAGTGACCAAAATCTACAGGTCAAGGGCCTCCCCTGGTGGAGCAGGTGGTTGAGCTTAGCACTATGAAGCTGTTCTGCAGCCTCTGCAGCGCTGGTTGGATCCCAGCAGGCCGGCGAGTGTCCCACATGGCACGGCAGACCTCTCCTGTCTTGCCCGCTGCTCCCCTCAACAGTGTATTTCATCAGTCTGCCTGATCTGTTCCCCACTCTGTCTCTGGTGAATCCTCTCACCCTCCCGTGCATCTGGCCTGTACTCCAATTCTTGTATAAATAAATAAATCTTTAAAAAAAGAAAAAAGAAAGAAAAACAAAATCTACAGGTCAAAAGAAGAAGTATGGATTTTAAAATGCAGTGTGACTGAAGAGCTAGAAATCAATGAGTGCAGGTCAACAACTCAGTCACCATCTGTATGGTTGCTTTTACTCATGACGCACTGCAAAGTTTACTGGGTCACTTCCGATTTAGATGCTCACACAGAAATACCAGGAAAAAGCAGGTGTGATTTAATTTCCATGTGATTTAAGGTCCACAAATCAGATATATTTTCACATGACATCTAAAAGCAGGCAGTGAAGAAAAGGGTGTATTTTTCTACTATTTTAACAAGTAGGGAAGCTGTAGAGGTGTTTGCATTTTACAAGATAAAGTGTTAGCAAAGAGCCCAGCAAACAACTACTGGCTTTCAAATTATCAAGTAGCATCCATTTTGTTGATAGAGTTTATATCAGGTGCAAGATGGTTACCAGAGAAAACAGTAGAACCTTCCTGATTGCTATAGTTCCTATTCAGTGCAGTTTGAGGCCAGGTGCTATTGTGGCAGCTTCCCAAATTCTTAAATAGCTTCTTGATCAAAGAGGCAGTAACTCGCATGGGAGACTATTTTGCAATATAATCTTATAAACAATACTAGAAAGCCATTTAAAATCCAGTAATAAATGCCTTCCTATTTAGAGTGATTATGAGGTTTACAATGCAAATGTTCTATTTTAGGTTATATTCATTATTTCAGAAACATTCATTTCTTCAGTATGTTAAGGTGACTATACTCTGTAAGTTTCTTTTTCTTATTTTTTTTAAAGATTTATTTATTTATGCATACAATTTTATATTCATTATTTCAGAAACATTCATTTCTTCAGTATGTTAAGGTGACTATACTCTGTAAGTTTCTTTTTCTTATTATTTTTTTAAAGATTTATTTATTTATGCATACAAGAGCTGGTGTACAGGCCAAAGATGCAGGGGTGAGAGGATTCACCAGAGACAGAGTCGGAAACAGAACAGGCAGATTGACCAAAGCACACTGCTGAGGGGAGCAGCCGGTGAGTCAGGAGGTCCTACTGTGCCATGTGGGTTGCTTCCTGGGCAGCCCGGGATGGAACTCAGTGCTGCAGAGGCTGTGGATTACTTCATAGTGCAGTGCTTTAACCCCTTGCGCCACCAGGGAGCCCCTGTAATTTTCTATATAAAATAAAATCTGAAATTTTAGAAACAGGCACAGCCTCTAATTCAACATTTTTACATTCTATCTATATTTTATGAAAGTTTATCAATGCATATAAAAATCCAGGGATCAAAATTTAAAAAAAAAAATGGGTGAGTCCCAGCAAACATAACTCAGGCACTGTGATACTTTCTATTGAAAATGGTATTGGTTTTATTCAACTTACAAGAATGTATGGTTACAAGTTTGTTACTTTTGGAGTGTTAAGGATATGAATACAAGTGAAATAGCCTATGTGAGGCTGATTCCTTACACAAAGGAATTTAGGCTGAAATTATATTAAAGTAGGATAAATTCTCAGTCCAGCTACTAGGTATAAAGCATAGGGTCCCCGTAGTTAGCAGAATCTGTAATGTATGTCCTATTAAACCTTAAAATAAAAACAAAATTGTAAAGATAAAAATAAAATTATTTTTATTAAAACAGCTAAGTAATGAGCTTTTGTATCATGATGATTTAGTTACAAAAATTTTACTAGAAAAAGACTGACAAAACCAGAAAATAACATGTCACCTTTTCCCTTGTGAATAATCCCTATTGGTTTTGGGTTGATTTGAAGAGAATGTTTAAAATCAAACATCATCGAATTTCACAGCTAGAACAAACAATGGAGCATTTGACTATTCAGACTTTTTTTTTAGTCCTATTGCTATCAAATAATCAAAGATTCAAAAACATTAATTGGTAGCCTAGTTCTAAAGTTAGGACTAGAACACAAGCCTCCAGACTAGAAACTCTAATCTTTAGTACTGTACATGCACACACATATACACAGACACCAATATATAAACTACATATATATATATATATATATAGAGAGAGAGAGAGAGAGAGAGAGAGAGAGAGAGAGAGATTTAGTGAGTGTGACTAGACTACCTGGATTCAAGTCACAGCACTGCTACTTATTAGATTCTTGATTTTGGAAAAGTTTCTTAATTTATCTGTATTTCTATTTCCTCAGTTGCCATCTAAGTACAAAAATAGTTCCTATCTCTTGGGGATCTTGTGAAGTTTGAGTAACCAGGCGAGAGTCTGCCTCGAAAATATTAACTCTCTTTTATTAATTAACAGTTGATTCTTTAAATCAACCTGAATTTCTTAATGTAAAAGCAAAATGACTTGCTATCCAGTCAATTTTCACTGGAACACTAAAAATGGATTCTACATATACAAGGGCATACCTTGATAAGAGGAGATTCTACTGCTTGCAAATTAATAACACCAAATGTATTACATTGTGTAGCTAGTACTTATTACAAATCTGGACATTAAAAACTATTCCACTAGGCTTTCATTTCATAAACAGAAAAAAAAACCTGAAGTAAATGAACATATTTACCATTATGAAATAATGAGATTTTTTTTTAATCAGGAGGGAATAACTGTCCCTTCCCCCAAAATCAATAATCATTGTGAATACTGTGTACTATATGAATAAATTTATACTGTCTTGTTTCCATGGCAGTCAGCATGCAATGAATGAAATAACTCTGGTTCCTTGATACAGAACATTCACGTTTTGAAGAAATCATATTCCCTTTTCACCTAAAAATCCAGTTAACCACGTAACCAATCACAAATCTTCATTCCAGTATCTCTAGATGACTCAGCCTAAAAATGCAGATTTAAAACTGCATATGAAAAGCACAATAAATGGTAAAGGCACTAGACTAGAGGTCAGGAAAGCTACTTGCTCAATTAATTTTCTGGGACTCAGTATTATTTGTTAAAAAAAAGTGGTAGTGTTAAACAGTCTTTTTGCTGTAAGAGTCTCAAAAAGAGAAATTATCCCCTCATTCTTTGCCTTTAAAAATCAAGTTGAAAAAGTAAGGGATACCAAACTGACCTATCAAAGGTTGTGGATACCTAATACTCAAAGGGTAAGTGTCAGAATAGAGAGCTGACTGGCCAGACTACATGACCCAAAGCATCACTTTCTGATAACAGCTAAATCTTTGCACCACTATCTGTTAAAGTAAAACAAACTTGTCCTTTCTGCAATCACCTAACTTTAAAAATCACAATTGCTTTATGTGGTAATTCTTTCTGTTGGGATGGCTCATTCTCCTCCACCCTTCTTCCCCCCTGTATCCCTGAATGCCAAATGTACAATACTGCCCACAAAATAGAAAGTTCCAGTGATATTTTCACAAAGACTTGTCTAATTTCCCAGTATTAAGAGCACTCTCTTCAGAACTGAAATAATACTTTATATCTCTCACAGGTCTCCTAACGCTTTCTTCCCAAGTTAACTTTAACTTGAACACTTCCATACTAGATGTGAAGTCTAATTTAATTCAGCTTTGGATTTCCCACAAAATGAGTAGTCTCTAACACAAAAACAAATGTTTAATAAACAGTAAAAAAAAGTCATAAACTTTAACCTGAGACATTTTAAAGCCCTATGTTCTTAAAATACAAAATAAACCCATAGCTTCTGTTTACACTTTATTTTTTTTTTCTTTTGCCTCTTTCCCATGCCACTTCCTACAGACCAAGAAAGACCAAACTGGCACCTCAGGGTTTAAGGAAATCATTTCTAGAGCAGTGGCTGCCTATTGTCAAACCATCTTTTATCACTTATCTAATTATACAGTTGTGATAAGGTTTAGAACTTTAGTGATCAGGAAAGAAGTTTCACTTAGTCTCCTGACTATGCAAATTAATGACTGTTCTGTTTCTAATTTATTGCAGAGTATCACCTGTTCATATAGTGTCTTAAAACATCTTTATGTGAACAGCTAAAACAAAGTTCCTCAGGCAACATTCCTGTTTAATGTCTAACTAAACTTGTAACTTTAAAAACAAAATTGTGAACTGCAGTCACAATCACCTGGATTGGCTGTGTAATTATTTATGCTAATAAAAAAATCCTGCATAAGAAAAGAGAATCATGTCTGCTGAAAATGTTACATATATACAAATATTATCTCTTTAAATAAATTTGAAGAGTTCTCCGTTTAAAATACTTATCGTCTTATTCACAAAGATTTTAATTTTTCCTAAATTAGTCAAGGTGGATGATTTACTACATTCCCAAAAGAATTACAACTATAATTTTTAAAGCAATATCCCAGTAGATACCAAGATCACCGTAAAAGGGGGAGGGAGGAAACTTGCATCATATTCACTGCAGTTAATGTCTACAAATTTTTGTTAAGTGATACTTTTTAAAAAGTTTTCACCTTTACCTAGCAAGGGTAGTATAAAATTTCACAAATAAACTTCTTAATTTGAGGACTCCCTGAAGAGACTGTCAGTATAAGCGATCTGACATGGTTTTCAAATAATAAGTGAAATCTGATCCCTCTTGTGACCAGTTCAAGTTTGTCTAGGAGCCCACTTAAACTTATTTGTTGATATTGGATACTGCTGGATAATACCAAATTAAAACAAGAATATTTTTATAAATTATATATTCAACTGAGATACACAGGTTTTGAAGATCACAGATAGAAATTTTCATATATCTGAATTATACTTAATCTACCCTTTGCAATTTAAATTTTTTATAAAAAAATATAGTAGCAGTCATAACAGCTAAAACCAAGTGTTTGGGCAACATTTCTATTATATTTCTAATAAATCTTGTTTTGTTAAAAAAAAACTGAACTCTTCAATTCTATAAACATCAATACCTAAAAAGTTAACAAGCTTTCAATGTATTTCATCCAAATATTTCAAAAAAATTCATAAAAAATACTTCAAAAAAATTTCAAAACTATTATCTCCCTTTCTAAACAATACTCAAGAAATAAATATATGCATGAAATATTCAAGTATTTAACAAATGCTTACCTTAATTATTTTAAAAATCGTACACATAAAGTAGGAATTTTAATTACTACTTTAAAGTATATTTTTAGTATATGCACATATGTGCCCAGAAGTCTATCCTCCACTCTTTATGTATACAACTAATATCAACATATAATGATCAGCTTTGCTTTTTAGACTTGTAAATCAGGAATAAAATCACATTCAGGAAAAAATCACTACAGAAAAAGCTCTCTGACTTTAAAGTCATGACTTAGTCATATTTTTATTTGCATAAAGCAGACACATTAGTCACTTAAAAAAAATGCAGTTAAATTGACTATTCATTAATAAAGCAAAGGAAAAAAATTTCTCAGAAATTTAATACTTCTTATAAGAAACAGAATAGAAGGAAGGAAAAATAGTGCAAATGTTGTTTCTGAATTAAGATGTTTATAAATAATCACTGAAATTAATCACTTGCTCAAAGAATTCACCACTTTGCAGGGCACCAAAAAACAAATTTGTCCTACCAGTCCCTTGACAAAATGAAAGTTAACTTTTCTTAATTGTCCTAGGAAAGACCAGTTTAGGGATTACTCAGCAGCAATGTAACAAACTAATTCAGTGCTTCTAGATTGGGATGCAGAGCTGATCAGCTTAGAACATGAAAATAGCAGTTCATGTAACACACACACATTTTATCAAAACTAATGAAAATAACAATTCATGTAACACACATTTTATCAAAACTAATGAAAATACTGCTTAACCAGAACTAAATCTGGCTCTCTGGATTTCTAGTAACTCACTTAAAGTCATTATTACATCTGTAGTAGAGGAAACCTCCAAATAAAAGCTGTAAGAATAAAAGAATTATGAAGGTGATTCAGATATACTCACAGATCCTAGGAGAAATAAAATTGGAAGCCCAATTCCAAACTTTTCTCCTAAGATGTTCACAGCAGATAATAGCTGGAAAGCTTGTGGACCGAAGTCCTGTAGTATATCTTCTGAATCATCAACTAAAATGCAATGATCCAATCTAAATAAAAATAACAATGTGTTAAGAAAGTTTAGCCAAGACATGCAACCTTAGAAAGAAAAACTTAGTGTAACAATTAGTTAAGTAACAAAATACCTCAAATGTTCCAACTGTTTTAGAAGCTACAAATAAAGTTCATTACAGCCAATAACTGTGAAGCATCTAAAATATGAAATATAAACTATAATACATCGCAGATATGTTATGCTGATAGGTCTCAATACTACTGCCCTAGAATTTATGGTCCAAGAGGTGCCTTGGCTCATAGAAAGGAAAAAGTTCAAACAAGCGGAAGTAAATTACAGTTCAAAGTGATCTTTTATTAGCTTTTAGTGGAAGAAAAAGGTTGTTGTAAAAATCATATTTTACTTAAAAAAACCAAATCTCCTATGCAATAAATTGCTTAGGTTTTTTTTTTTTTTTGGGGGGGGTGCTGTGTTTAGGTTTATTCTCCTTTGCTAACTTCTGTAGGATACTTAGCTCATTAATTTTCTTTTATAAAGTTATCAAATTCCCTCAAAGTACCACCATCACCCTACAAGTTTTAATGTACATTACTGTAATTATGACTAAGTTTTAAAAATGTTTTAATTTCCAGTTTGATTTTTTATTTGATTAATGAGTTATTTTAAAGTGTTATTTTTTGTTCAACATCACTTGTAATCAGAGACATGCAAATCAAAACTACAATGAGATACCATCTTATACCAGTGAGAATCCTATAAATACAGGGATGCAAGGACCCTTTTGAATTAATGTTTCTGTGTCCTTCGGGTAAATACCCAGGAGTGGGATTGCTGGATCAAAACTAGCAACGACAAATGTTGGCAAGGATGTGGAGTAAAAGGAACTCTCCTGCACTGCTGGTGGGAGTGCAAACTGGTCCAAACAATGGAAAGCTGTGTGGAGATTCCTCAACCTGCCAAAGATGGAGCTGCCATATGATCTAGCAATCCCACTGCTGGGTATTTACCCAAAGGACACAGAAACATTAATTCAAAAGGGTACCTGCATCCCTGTGTTTATAGGAGCACTATTTACAATAGCTAAGCTATGGAAACAACCCAAATGCCCAAAAACAGATGACTGGATCAAGAAGATGCGGTACATATACACAATGGAAATTTACTCAGCAGTCAAAAAAGATAAACTCATGCAATTTGCAGCAACATGGATGGAGCTGGGAGGGGTCATGCTCAGCGAAATAAGCCAGAAAGAAAAAGAAAAATACCGGATGGTCTCGCTCATAGAAGGAATTTAGAAAACCTAAATAAGGGACCAGGAAAAAGACTAATTATAATAAAGTAAAAATTAAAATCAACAAGCAACTATAAACCAGAGATACAATACAGGAGGGGGGAGGAGGGAATAGGATGAAAACAAGGGGATTGGATTGTATGGGGACTATAACCATGATGAAAATGCATACATTGTGCAAAAATGAAAAATGATGTAAAAAATATATAAAATAAAAAAAGTGTTATTTTTAATTTCCAAAGAAATGAGATTTTTTTTTTTGGTCTATCCTCTTATATACTTCTAACTTAATTGCATTCTGGTAAGAAGATGTAGTGCATATGATACCAATTCACTGAAAACTTTTGAGATGCAAAACAGTACAGGAGCAGAATACTTTTTATTTTTTTTTAAAGATTTATTTATGTATGCATACAAGAACTGGGGTACAGGCCAGAGATGCTGGGGGTGGGAGGATTCACTAGAGACAGAGTGGGGAACAGAAAAGGCAGACTGGCTAAAATACACTGCTGAGGGAGGCAGCGCAGCGGGTGTGTCAGGAGAGGTCTGCTGTGCCATGTGGTTATCTCCCTGGATGGCCCAGGATCGAACTCGTGCTGCAGAAGCTGCAGATAGCTTCATAGTGCTGTGCTTAGCCCTTTGTGCCACCAGGGAGACCCACAGAATACTTTTTGTAAAGGGCCAAAGAGCAAATCATTTAGGTTTTGTGGACCAAGGACAACCCAATTTAATCTCTGCAAAAATAGCCACAGATAGAACATAAACAAATGGACATGTTTGTATTCCAAGAAAACTCTATTTTCAAAAAAACAAAGGGCAAGTAGATAGGTTCAGAGGCTCCAGTTTGCCAACTCCTGCTCTAATATACAGACAATTTTTATAAAAATCCTACCTGTGTATGTTTGAGAAGTGTAGTCTCTAACTCAGTGTTTCCCAGCCAGTGTGTTGCAAATGGATTATAGATGTGCTAAAAGGTTAGTCACTTTAGACCTTAGGATTCTGGACAGAAACTGAACTCAATTACCCTAGTATGTTTTGCAAGCATTATCATTTGCTATGTGTGTCATGAAGCAAAAATATTTGAGACACAGTGCACTAATTGCCTGGTACAGGGTTCTGTATACTATGAGTCAGATAAATCAGGTTTGTTACTATACTGAACAAATTTTCTATTGCTTACTGAAGAATGACTAGATTAGATTAGACGAGACAAGACTAAAAAACTTCTAGAGCAAATATATAAATGGAATTTATATATTTTCTATAACTAATTGGTAGCTTAACTTACTTATTACTAAAAATTATATCAAACTCTCACATTTTTATGGTGATTTTGTGACTTTTTCCAATTCTGTCAGTTTTTGTTTTATACATTTGTAAGATGTTTTTATTTTAAGGTGCATATAGGACAATTCTGCCTCCCTGGTGAACAATCAATTTACCACTGCATAGAGAACATTCTATTCCTAAAAATATTTCTTTTGTTAATATAGCAACCACATCAAGGAATACAGCTAACACAATATGGTATAATGTTTTTATTTTATTTCAATTAATATAATTAAATTGACTATGGGTGTGTATGAAGTTCTACATATTTTAACACACACAAAACCATATGCATAGCTTCATTTAACCACAATCAGGACACACAACATATCCATCACCACCAAATACATTTAGTGGTAAAAGCACAAAGGACTGTGATGATGGATTATAGGTGCTGTGGTGGTAGAAGAACTGTGGAGACTATACCTGAGGGGAGAAATCAAATACTGCCAAACATTAGCAATGATCTAAGGAAATCAATTTAAAATAAAATACTAAGAAATGAAAAAAAAAAAACAAAAAACTCCATGTGCCATTAATCTGTACCCTTGTTGCCCCCTCCTACAGAGGCAAATCTTTTTTCATCACTACAGTATATTCCTGTATCTGAAGAAATATTATATAAGTGGAATCATATTATAGAATGGTGTTACTTCTTTTAAATATTTGGTAGAACTTGCTATTGATATCATTTGGTTTTTCTATCTTCTATTTCATTGATTCATGCTCCTATCTTTATTATTGTTTTCCTTCTGCTTCTTTTTAGTTTACTTTGCTCTAATTTACTTTTTTCTTTTTTAAAGATTTATTTATTTATTTATACAAGCACTGGGTACAGTCAGAAGCGCAGGAGGGTGAGAGAATTCACCAGAGCCAGAGCGGGGAGCAGAACAGGCAGACTGATGAGGTACACTGCTGAGAGGAAAAGCCGGCGGCTGGAGAGGTCTGCGCGCCATGTGGGACCCTCGCTGGCAGCTGGGGATGGAACCGGCGCTGCAGAGGCTGCGGGCAGCTTTGCAGCCCAGCACTCAATCACTGCGCCACCGGGGAGGTCCTAATTTACTTGTTTCTTATGGTGGAAACCTAACATGTCTTGAAATCTTTCTTCTGTTATAAGTTTTAATGTTTTAAATTTCTCTCTCAGTATTTTTAGCAGCATCCTATTCATTTAACATTTTCATTTTTTCATTTTCAGTCAGTTCCAAACCTTTTCTGATTTACCTTGAAACTTCCTCTTTGACTCAGGATTATTTAGTAGTATGTTATTTAATTTCTATGTGTTTGGAGAGCTTTCTGTTATCTTCATGTTGTTGATTTATAGTTTAATTCCATAGGAGTTAGAAAATATCTTCTATATGAATAAAATTCTTCTCAATCTGTTAAGGTTTGTTTTATGACTTAGAATATGGTTTATGCTATTAAGGTTCTATCTGCAACTAGCTGAAGATGGAACTGACAGAAACCTGCATGATGCTGTCGCACAGTGTTCTATAAAAGTCAACTAGATCCGGCCAGTTGATAATACTGTTCATTTCCATATTTTGACTGATTTTCTACTTAATCTATTAACTACTAACAGAAGTAATTAAAGTCACCAACTGTATTTGTACATTTTTTTTATTTCTCCTTTCAATTAAGTCAGTTCCTTTGTTAAATATATACACATTTAGGATTATGTGCTCTTGGATATGATAGTTGATTTTGTGTGCCAATTTGTCTAGGCTGTGGTCCCCAGTTGTTTGATCAAACACTTATGTAGATAATTACTCTAAAGATATTTTGTAGATGGGATTAACATTTATGATCAATTGACTTTAAATAAAGAAGATCACCCTTAATATTGGTGAGTTGCATCTAATCAGATGAAGGCCTAAAAGAGCACAGTCTGAGGTTTACTAGAGAATAAGGAATTGTGACCCAGGGTTATAACAGAAATCCTGTTCGACTTTCCTGCCAGCTTGTCCTACAGATTTCAGACTTGCTAGCCCCCACAACTGCATGAACCAATTCCTAAAAATTAGTCCCTTCCCTATATCGACTGTGTGTATACATATGTGCATATACATATGTCTGTGTATTTCTCTACAAAACCCTTACTTACACATTAGTAAGTGGATCCTTTTACCACCATATAATATCCTTTATAGCTGGAATATTCTTTCTCTAATGTCCCCATTGTCTGAGATTAAAATAACAAGTCCAGTTTTCCATTGATTAATATTTTCAAGGTAGTTTTTACCCTTTTATTTTTAACCTACCTATGTAATTATGCCTATATTGGATTTCTTGTGGACAGCATACACTTGGATCATATTTTTAAAACAATTCTGACAATTTATGCCTTCAAGGTTTTTTTTTTTAATCATTTACATTGGTGTAACTATTGAAATGTTTAGATTTAGATTTATTATTTTATTGGTTTTTCCATTTATAAAACAAAATACTGTATTATTTGCTTTGTCATCTATTTAAATAAATAAATCCATTATTAATGTTAAAATGTAATACATAAAAACTAAATTAAAAATTTAATTGAAAAGGAAAGAAACAGATTTTCAGAATGTCCATCTATAAAAAGAAATCTTTACCTGGACCTGCAATTATCACAGCATTTTTCAGTTCCCAATATACCCAAAGAGGCCTTTCGTAGTTGTTTATCTTCAAAATGAGACAAGATGATTCTACCCAAGAGAAAATTTTAAATTAAATAAAAGAACAAAAATGTGCATGTAAAATTCACTGCTTAAAGATGAAATCATCAATTGACTCACCTGAGACCTCATTATTTTCTTTTATTTTACTAACACACAAAGAAAGTTATCTCAAAAATTCAACACATGCATAGTACCAGCAAAATATTGTTTCTAAATACTTCTATTTAGCAAAACTCTTTTCTTAAAAGATCACCATACTCAAATCTCTATCACTAGTTGACACAAAATAAATAATACATACCGTCGTCTACACTTTCTAGAATGAAGATATTTTTCCATCTTCATCATCATCTTTAATTTGTACAATCGAAAGTTTTCATTCTGTATCTCACCAAGGCGATGCCTGTTAGAAATATTATAGAAATACATAAAATTATCTTAGTAATTTTGTTACTTTTCATTTATTAGTTTATTTTTTATAACCTATAAAATCCACACCCTTATCAAGAAAACACTTCTATCATTTCAGAAAGCTATTTTGTCCTTCCCAGTAAACGCTCTCCATAAGAGGCAAACATTTTTCTGATTTCTACAAATGACTTTGGAAAGAATTCTACCTATGTCCAAGCATCAGTTTTTCAGTTGTTTTAAAAAAATATTACAAACCCTAAAGTGTTTCATTTTGATTTATATGCAACACACTTTTGGGTTATTTTCCTACTACATATGAATTTTTACCTTTTCATAGTAAAAGATTATTTTAAATTTATTTTATATGAGGAAATAGAAACATCTATGAAAGGTATGTTGAAAGTGATTCATAATTCAAATATGAGGCTTCATTCATATTAACTCTTCAAAGGACTACTCAGTCCTCTAAAATTCTGTATTATGGGGCATTATGGCACACCAGTAAAGTATCAGAATTAAGTTCCTTCCTCAAACAATTATTACTGATCTTTTAATAATAGCAATAAATTAAAAGTTAAATTCAATTTCAATAATTTAATTTAATATTACTAAATATATTTAATAATACTAAATGTATTTAAAATGTTAAATAACACTTAAGACATGTTGTTTTTTAAGCCATTAACATTATGTAATCTATCCTGTTAATTCTAGTTGTGTAATGAAATTTCATGAATACCAGGTATCAGAGGTTGACAATCTCCCAAATAGTTTTGCATGTCTTTTCAAGAATGAATAGAAGTCTGAAAGTTTTTAGATATTTCAGAAGAAAACATGGATTCCTGCACATTCTAAATAATACTATGCTGAACCTCATCAAAATGGTCTTTATTCACTAATATTTTTACTATCTAACATCCTGACTGATAAAAATACCTCTGTACAATTCTCAAAGATCACACAAACAGGGAATTCATTTTTTTTGACAATAACTGATACAAATGAGTTCTTATTCAAAAACATTTTTATCATTTGATACTACCAATCACTATACTCCTCAGTCTAATTTTCCTCAAAGTCTCTTCCAAATCTTGACTCCAGTTCCTAGATTAATCATCTAATTTCATGGGCTAAAAATGCTTCCTAAGGCATAGTCTAAAAATTATTGATAGTTCCTTTTTTGCTAATTTTCTTTATTTGCTTAGCTCAGCTTCTCAAGGCAGGGAAAACAAGGAAAACAAATACCTGTTCTCTATGAACAACATCCTCTCTTCTATTTGGTTCAGAATACCCATATTTAACTGATCTCATCAGTGTCAATAACAAATTTGGGGAAATAAAATTACAAGTCTCTAGCAGCAAATCAAACAAGTATTTATTCTTCTCCTGGGACTAATAAATTTGTTAAGCTATAATACTTCACAGAATAAAAACAGGGAACAAGGTGATAAAAGAGAGATCCTAAAAATATCATAAATAGAAATCATCTAGAACTTGGGGAGGATGTACTGAATTGCAATTATTATGCAAATTATTCCCTTAAAAATGACAAGTATTAGGTTTGACGGCTTAAAATAATAGCACACACAGACACTACGAGTCTGCTGATGGTACGGTTTCTGTAATAAGAAACTAAAAACTATGTATTTATACTGATGATTGAACAACTTTCTTCTCAAAGTCATAGGACTCTAGCAGAGACTAAAATTTTTTATTTCACTGACCTTTTCAGTTGGAAACCAGCAACTTCATTTATTCTAAAACTTTGTTTATTCTAATAGAGGTGCTTTGTCATAGGACAACACAGAAATATCCTCAATTCTCAGTTTTATTTCCCTTTAGACAGATGTAGAAAACTATACTAAAGATTCAAGCAGATTCAAGTTGCACCACTTTGTGATTGTGATCACTGTTGCCTCCTGTTAAATCTTAATGAGATGATCATTTAAAATATCTGAGACCCAGATGAACAGAAATTGTATCTTTTGATGAACACTGCAAAGCCATAATCTAAAACTTGGATACTAAGCCTTCAGTACTGTTAGCATAATGGAGAAATAAAAGCAGAAGGCCAGGAATTGATTTATGTTTGATAAAATCCCAAATTTAACAGCAGCATGAAGAGCTGTGCTCTATCCCAATTATTGTAAACTAATTTATAAAAAGCTTGACAAAGACACTAGAGTCAAAAGGAAAGTAACAGGAGCATGGTTTTATTGACTTTATGTTAATAGACAAAAACTACTATGTACTCTTATAAAGAAAAGCTTACAATTATAGCAAACATTTTAACTTTAACAAATATTTCATTCTTGTTTCAGATCTCAATTCAATCATCACTTCCTCAAGAAAGCCTTAACTGACCTTTCTAACTTGGTAGACAGCACACCCCATTATCACTTTCACTATCTCAATGTAATATTCTTTCATACACACTTGCATGATCTTTTTTAAAAGTTTGATTTCTGAAATTTTCAAATACAAAAAATGAGAACAGTAAAATGAACCCTATTTTTTCATAGTGGTTACTCAAAAAAAAAATTGTAAAATGATGAATAAAAATAAAACTGTATTGGACTGGCATTCTCATCATTTAATAAAGCAGGCTAACATCTTGATTCAAGGGCTCAATTTATTCAGCTACACAGAGGGACATTTTAAAAACACTTCATCTTGGTAGGCCCATCAGTTACCACATAAAAGTTTTTTGCTGAGATTTTTCTCTACTATGGATGAGGAAATTAGTTGCTGAACCCTGTCCCTTAAATTTTTGCAAGATGAAGTTTTCCTTTCCAATATAAATTTTGCAGAACTTAACTACCAACAAAATACCTGTTTAGCATTTAAGTAGAATGGTTTTCCAGTTTCCTGTATTTAAACACTGAAAATAGTATTTTCATGGCAAGTCAATCATTACAGTGCAACATGATTATTCACACACAGTCAAGAAGATCTAGCATGTTCTCATAGAACTAACAAAGGTAACAGAGTGTAGAGAGAGTCAAATATAAAGATTGGTAGAAGTCATTTGAAATAGGTACCCCACTGGTAGCATGAGAGGAAAGAACCAATAACAAAATAAATGGTATCTAAAGTAACCATGACTGATGTCATTAAACCTTGAGGGGCCTTGCAGAGAAAAAAAAGCTCATATATGCACACTCTCAGGAAAGAATCCATAGGAGCCATGTTACATTCCTGCTATAGCCCTGATTTAGCTAAACCTTCACAAAAAATGAAAACTGGATGAAATTAGGTAATCTCCTCTAGGTGGCAACAAAACCACAAATATCTTAGATGTCTTTGATTTTGGTTTGGTTTTAACTGCTGTTATTATCCACATTACTTGAAAATTTGAATGTTACTTCAAACACTTCAAAGCTTATATTTAAAATAAAAAAGAAATCTACAAGTGTGAAAGCAGTAAATGTCTTTACCGATTTACATTAATGTCTGTCGGAGCCCAGAATACATGACAAAAACTTTGAAGTCCATCACGGCCAGCTCTACCAATCTCCTGGTAATATGATTCCATTTCCTTAGGAGCACCATAATGTATGACTCTGCGAATGTCAGCTTTATTTATGCCCATTCCAAATGCTATGGTAGCTATGATGCACTGAGAATAAATAACAATATAGTTTGATAAATATTCAGAACTAAAACCTTATATTTTTATCTCTTGGTATAATTAGAATAATTAGCTCATTAACTAAATTCACTGGCCTAAAACTGAATTCAATATAATTTCAACCAATCACTTACAGATTAAAAGATTATCTGCCCAATTTGCAGATGAAGCTTGGTGACCATAAAATAGGATTTTAAATAAAAAGTTATGCATAAAGTGGTTTCTCTGAATACCTATGACTTAAGACACAAAAGAGGCTCTTCAAGTATTAATTATATTAATTAAATGATGTGCTACTATGAACTTTCAAGAGTCCTTATCTAATCGCACAGTACTATAATTTTTTTAGTATTATTCTAAAATGGAAGGTAGCTTCTCATTGAAGATGGTGGAATGAAACATAATTGTATCTCTGAATCTCTAAAACGATAAAATTGGCAGAATAACTAATATGTATGAATGCCCTGAGATGAGATTTAAATGACTGGGAGAGATTTTAAAAGAACTGGTGATAAGTACACAAAAAAAGAAACAATTTTTTTTAAGTATTAACCATCAAAATAGAAAAAGATATTTAAGAAAAGTAACTATAATATATACCACACGGTTAGGAAATAAAGAGCATTTAGTAACTATGTAAACATATAAGATCTAAACATATATATCCAAAATTATTATATTAATATTGGGATCCCCGAAAGGGATCCCAAGTGTCTGGATGGAGTAAAGAGGAGGACAGGAAGGAAAAATAATTTCTCATCTTTCATAGTGGAGAATCAATAGATAATGCCCAAAACTAATACATAAATAAGAAGCTAAGTAGTAATACTATAAACAAATTATTGCAAGATACAGTGGCAAAAACCAAAAGAAAAACTAGAAGAGTTGGGAGTGGCAAATAAAAGTGGGGAAGGAATGAGGGACTGATGCTTTTCATTGTAAGCCCTATAGACTAACAATTTGAGTCTTTTTGTGCATGTATAATTAATAAAAATTTAAGTGACATTTAAAAAAATATTTTTGAATGCACCAAAAGCAGCAAAACACAATTTCAAAAAATGCTAAATAAATAATAAATAAAAGTATGAGAAAAGGTAAGTGAAAAATAAATATAGGAATGAAGATAATATGAAGAAAAAGCTTTGAGTGAATATGATGCAATTTTACTATATTTAAGAGTGACTAAACAACTTAATTTTCCTTTTTTAATATTATTTCTGATTCGATTTTCCCAGTCTCTTTGAAATATAATTGACATATATCATTGTATAGGTTTTTTTAGATTAATAGATTAGCAAATCTTTATTTTTCAAATAATTTTTAAATTTTATTTATGTATTTTTACATCATTGTTCATTTTGCACAAGTTTGATTTTCCTCTTAGGTGTAGTCCCCACAAAAACAGTTAATGAATCAAACATTAATTGTTTTGAGTTCCTGAGATATAAGATTAAAAATATAATCATTTAAGAAATTAGACCAAATCTCTATTCCAGGGGACTGTGATAACTGTTCCAAATCTGAAAAAAGAGAGAGAGAGAGAGAGAACAGATGTTTTTACACTAATACCCAACACAAAGAAGATATTCAATGAAGATTTGATAAATAAATATTAATGAAATAACCATTTCTACTGTGGGGAAGAGAATAATAATTAAGCTTCACACCTGAATTTCATCTCTCATAAATTTATGATGAATCTCTTTCCGTGACTTAATATTCATGCCTGCATGGTATGTTTCACAGGCTAACTTCAGTTTCCTAAGTTCAGCTGTAACTTGTTCTGTCATTTTTCTAGAAGGACAATAGATGATAGTTGGACCTTCAAATTCCCAAGAACTACAGAAAAAGAAAAAGAAAAACAAACATATGCATTTGTTCTATTCAGTCTTTTTGGGTTTTATCTTAATTTTCCCTTACTTTATTAAACTTTTATTTCATTTTAATTTAACTCAAATATCAGTTTAATTTTCCTTTTAGTAAAAGACAAAAAGCAGAGAGCATATAGAAAACAATGATACATTTAAATATATAAATCTCTAAAACATTATGGAAAGTCAAATATGGAAATAAATTGTGTTAAACCCCAAAACCCTAACTCGGTTTCAATTCAAATTAAAGCCAGTTTGTTTAAGAAGTCTTCATAAAACTTTAGAGATTATTCCTGGTCCCTTATTTAGGTTTTCTGAATTCCTGCTATGAGTGAGACCATTTGGCATTTTTCATTTTCTTTCTGACTTATTTCGCTGAGCATGATCCCTTCCCGCTCTATCCATGTTGCTGCAAATTGCATGAGTTTATCTTTTTTTGATTGCTGAGTAACATTCCATGGTGTATCTGTACCACATCTTCTTGATCCAGTCATCTATTTTTGGGCATTTGGGTTGTTTCTATCGCTTAGCTATTGCAAATAGTGCTGCTATAAACATAGAAGTGCAGGTGCTCTTTCGAATTAAGTATAAGAAAGTAAAAATCAAAATCAACAAGCAACTATAAGCCAGAGACACACTACAGGGGGGGAGGAGAGAGTGGGATCAGTGCAAGGGGGTTAGGAATTGTATGGGGACTACAGCCAAGATGAAAATGCTTATATTGTACAAAAATAAAAAGATGTAAAGAATATATAAAATAAAACAATGAAAAAAAATTTTTGAGATTATTGATTCCAATACTTTTAGAAATGCAAAGCACTAGAGATTAACAACTAGTCTTAATTTATGTAAGAGAAGTGATTATTTAATGAGAAATATGCATAAAATTTATATATTATTCTGTCTCTTATGATGATAAAATTGAGTTACTGTATCTTACTAAATGAGAAAGAACTTACTAAAAGAAGTACTTACTAGTAATCTAGGGACTTGGAATGTTACAGAAAATGACAGGGAAAGGAAAAAAGAAGGCAGTAACTTCACTCTGAAACTCTTATTATATAATTTACTTAAAGCAATTTTTGAGAGTGAGCAAATGGGCTTCCGTATCAAAAACTCACAGGAGATAATTTGATAAAGGTACAAATTATTTTTAATGTATAAAAGTCTCATTTAAAAAAATTTTCCAAATAAAATTGTGCACAGGAAGAACTGGAAGAAAGCAAAGTACTTTTCAGTATATTATTCAAAAGGATACTAAGATTATGTATCACTTTTTACATTAAAAAATTTTGGAAAGTACACAAATTTGAAATTAAAGAGTAGAAAAATCAAAGGAGCAAAAGTTCCTACTACAAAAGAATTCATTACTTTGCCAGGTGATTTACTAAAGAATGTCATTTCCTCATAACAATTCCTGAGGATGGGCACTTTGGTGGTAGGAAAACTATGGTGATCTCACTTGAGGGGAGAAATTCTGTTTTGTGAAAGAATAAATAGGAATTTTTAAAACAAAACAAAGGATTTTAAAAACAAAAAGTAAAATAATAGTAATAATTAAGCAATTCTTGAAGGGGAATAAAATCTATTTTCACTTAACCATTAAGTGACAGCAGCTTACCTATCTAATTTAAATATACCATGAATATAGAAAACAAAATAAGGTGAAAATTTAAGACACATGTTAGCGCAATATATAGAAAAAAAATATGAATATTGATAAAACAAATGGCAAAATTAAATGAATAGAAGAAAATGGAAATAGAAGGCAATACTCCAAAGTCTTAATTATTCTCCTTCTCACTGCTCATTAAGAGGAAAATTTCTAAATAAGGGACCAGGAAAAAGAATAACTATAAGAAAGAAAAATTCAAAATTAACAAACAACTATGAACCAGAGACACACTATGAGGGGTAGGGGGCGGGGAAAGGAGGGCATGGGATCAAAATAAGGGGGTTGCAATTGTATGGGGAATATAAAAATAAAATTAAAAAAATAAATAAATAAAATTAAAAAAAGAGGAAAATTTCTGTTTACCTAGAACATACAGAAGGCAGTCTCTCAATGGTTCCCTGTCATCGTTATCCTTCTTTGAGCATTGGAAATGGGTACAAAATCTTTCTTGATTTGCTTTCAGAAAAACCATTTCCATATTGAAAATCAAAATCTTAGATGTTAGGCTAAGAAGAGTGGCCTTTAGTCTACAGGAAAGAGGGAGCCACAAGAAAGAAGTCCCAAAACTGGGAAGATAAATCTGAAATGTGTATACAGAATGCAACAAGGAAGTCTGAGGAGACAGGCCTGTTCGGAGAGATTAATAGTCTAATAGGCTAAAAAATAATAAAGAACCTCAATTAGAATTAGCATGAAAAACAGTGTAAAGTATCATTTACATAAGAGTAAAACATTTTAAGAGAATGTCACAATGTCACAAAAAAATTTAAATGATAAATACATTTTCAAAAATGGAAGTTATTACAGAAAGTGCCAGAGAGACTGAGAACAATGTGGATGGAAAAGGATCAAATATTAGGAGAAGAGATAAAGAAGTGATTGTGGAGACTTTAGCCTAGAATAAGTAGTAAAGATTTATCCTTTAGGATGGAAGCAAATGAAGCAAGATGACTAATAACTTCAGAGAGATCACCAGAGCAGCCAGAACACTGAGAATATATTCATTACATTCTTGTTTTATTCTGAGTATAGGATAATCAACCCTGATGCAAATCCTACATTTAAATTCCTCATTAAGGTCCCCAAGAGTTGCTATAGGTTTTTCTTAACTTAGGATCAATGTTCTTTTTATTTCTTTCTGAAAAGGAAAACATTAATGATGCTCTTTAATTCTATTTGTCTAGATTTGATTTGTGTTTTTATTTATAGAACAAACATTATTTTAATGTACTGTGACATAAAAACATATTTCATAACATGAAAATTACAAGCATTTCACAGAGCAGATAGTGAATAAAAGAATAAGGTTATGAGGAAGCTTCTCAGCATACATATAAAATGCCTTTAAACAATAAAAACGACACTTTATTATCAAGATGAAAATAATATGTACCTTACTAAGAAATTACAAGGATTTAAGTATCAATATATCACTTATAAAAAGCACCAAAAATAATCATATACAGGCTCAGAAAATGTCTCGTGACTTTTAAAATTCCCTAATATTTAGATTAGTCATACAATTAATGAACTAGATAGAAGGATAAAAGACTCTTGTTTTTGTTGTTCGACTTTCAATTAAAAGTATATGTCTTAAAAAAAAAAAAAGTATATGTCTCCTTCAAACAACATTATAGAGTATAATTTTGTAGAATTAGCTCCTGCCTTCAATTTCTGACTTTTTCCTCAATCACTGTCTTGATTATATATCATCATACCTGGTTTGAACCAAAACTAAGTAGAATCTGAAATATGGTATATATGTCTTAGAAGGAAACAGTAAAACAAATAATAAAAGGAGGAATCAGTTATCAAAATTCATCAACCATGAAATTCTTACTTTGTCTTTTTGACAAGAAATTGCTTCAGATCCTCAAGGATGTTTCCCGTTTTTCGTCCAACCTCTAAATACAGATTTGGTCGATCAAAACCAGTACAGGTAATTTGAGGATCCTTCAGTTTTAAGCACTGTATGATGTCTGCTCTGATTGAAGAAGGTGCAGTAGCAGTGAGTGCAACAATGGGAACCTGAATGAAGTAAAATTGATGTTTTTGAAAGAGACAGTTCATTAATTCCTAACATTTCTATTATCTTCTTATAAAGTGACAGAAGGTAAAGCATCAAAAATGCATTTTAAGAATTATTATTTTTAAAGAAAAATGTTTCTCAGCCTTCTGAATACAATATTAAATTGGTCAAAATCATAAATCACAAATAAAACACTAAATCTGCAATGTAAATGTAATCTACCTTGTCTAATTAAGCCTACTTATTAACTACCTCTCCGTGTTATCTTTTAACATTTATTGCAATTATAATAGTGCTGATATAAATGAGCAGTATGCTATGCCTTATTTTTGATTAATCCATAATTTACAAATTATAAATCCTTCCAGTCACTGAAAATCTAACTAATGAGTTTTTGTTTCTTTCCTATATAAAATATATTGGTTTATGGCTTCCTACATCTAGAAACAAAGCTCTCAATGATCTGGATAACCTCTTTCAGTTTTACTAAGTTACTCATGGCATACTATACTTAAGAAAAATGAAACATTTGTTATTAATTGATTTCAGTTTAACAGACTTATTGATTAGAAGACAGCAGGTGGAATAGTGGGCACAAGGAAAAATGTGTAATTTTTCAGAAATTCTAAAGCAGGATAACAACATAACTCACATAGAAGTAGACTGAATATTTCTGTCCCTATTATTGTAAGGAGTTATAGCCAACTAGGCTATTATTTCACAATCAAAAAATATGGACTATAGTTATTACCAAATCATTAGTATTCTATATCCAAGAATAAAACTTTCCTGAAAATATTCTTTTTGGCCCATTATAGACAATGACAATATCCTCATAAAATAGCTCTTTAGTAATACTACCTCACAAATCAGTTTAAGCAATTATCTTCGTTTTTTACTGAGGTAACACTGATTTATAACACTGGACATGATTCAGGGCAATAGGTTCACATCTCCTAGATCATGTCACCACACACCACACCTACAACCAAAGCACCCACAGCCCTTTACCGAAGACCACTGGGGTCTTCTCTCCTTTTTTTTTCCTCCCACCCTACCTCCCTCCTCTAGTAGTCTCAATGCTCCAGTCATACTTCTAGGACTTTCTTTAGTTTAGTTTTGTTGGTTCCTTTGTTTTCTTTCTCTATATTCCACATATGAATGAAATTACCTAGTATTTTTCTTTCTCCTCTGACTTATTTCACTTAGCATAAACCCCAGCTCCACCCATGTTGTCACAAATGGCAAGAGTTCATCTTTTTTATAGTTCAGTATTACTCCATCATCATGACTCCATCTTAATCCAGCCCTCTGTTGTGGGGCACTTAGGTTGTTTCCCTAACTTGGCTATTTTAACTAGTGTTTCAGTGAACACAGAAATGCACTTAGTCTTTCAAATTAGTGTTTTTGCATCCTTTAGGTAGCTGTCCAGGAAAGGGGTTCCTGAGTCATATGGTATGTCTATTTGTAACATTCTGTGGAGTCTCCTTACTGTTTTCCATCGGCCCTGGACCAGTCTACATTCCCACCACCAGTATAAGAAGGTGACTTTTTCCTCTCCATACCCTCACCAGCACTTGAATTTTGTGTACTTATATAGATACGTGTTTTTTACACACACACACACACACACACACACACACGCACCATTCTCACAGGAATGAGGTGGTATCTTGTTCTAGTTTTGATTTGCATTCCCCTGATGATAAGTGATTTTGAACATTTTTTACATTTTTTCACTTCTTTGGAGAAGTGACTATTTAGCTCTTTTCCCATTTTTTGATTGGGTTCTATTTCCTTTTTTGTTGAGTTCTTTGTAGATCATGGATATTGGGTCCTTGTTGGATGTATGATATGCAAATATTTTCTCCCATTCAGTAGGGGGTATTTTTGTTTTAATGATAGTTTATTTTGCTGTACAAAAGCTTTTTAGTTCTTATGTAAACTCATTTGTCTATTTTTGCTTTGATTTTCCTTGACATTAGAGTTGACATCTAAAGACATCCCTGAAGCCAATGTTGTAGAATGTTTTGCTGTTATTTTCTTCTATGAATTTTATTTCAGATCATACATTCAAGTCTTTAATCCATTTTGAGTTAATTTGTGTATGGTGTGAGAGAGCAGTTTCATTTTCTTTGCATGTGTCTGTTCAGTCTTCTCAGCACCGTTTTTTCAAGAGATTTTTTTTATCTCCACTATATACTGTTGGTGCTTTTGTTATAGATTAATGGTCCATAAAACTGTGGGTTTATTTCTGGACTCTCAATTCTATTCCAATATCATACTGTTTTGATTACTAAAGCATGGTAGTATAGTATTCCTCAATAAATTACATGCCAGAAGGAAACCAAAACTAGAATTCTAAAAATATCATTCCCTTGCTTATATCTTTATTTGCCTTTTCACAGAGAAATCTTCACCTTTTGGGCCATTCCCCAATCCTATACTGCCCCTTAATAAGAACTTCATTTCAGGGCCTCCCCTGGTGGCGCAGCAGTTGAGTGCTGGGTTGCGAGGCTGCCCGCAACCTCTGCAGCGCCAGTTCGATCCCCAGCCACCGGAGAGGGTCCCACCAAAAAAAAAAAAAAGTTCATTTCAAGTCATTGTGCTTGGCAAAGCTTACCAATGGGAGTACTGCCTTTAGAGAGCTGAGAGTCCTATATGAATTTCTAAAATCATGTCCCCACTCAGAAATACAGTGAGCTTCATCCACAGCAATAAGTGTGATACCTATTAAAGAGAAAAATATAGAAATGGGGAAACTAAAGTTCCAAAAGAAAGAATAAGCTCATCTAAATCAGTATTAATTTGTTCACTTAGAATATATAAATATCACAGGAAGAATAATGTAAATCAAAGTATATGGTTTGTATCAAAAATTATTACTGAGAACAGATTAAGAAGATTAAGGATTAACGGCATAAGGAGAAAAGGAAATGTGTGTATATATATATATATATATATATATATATACATATTATTCAAACAACATATTTACTGGATTTCACTTTTATCATTATTGCAGAGAAATTGAATTACTATTACTTTGCCCTCAGCTATCACTAATGAACCATATGCAACAGTAACACCCTTAAAAAAAAAAAAAAAAAAAAAAAAAAAGCTGCTCTCTTTCTCCTTGGTAATATCTTCAATTGTATCTCATCGATTAACTATCAAAAGAAATAGAAAAAGTCTCTGCATTTCTACTGAGATCAAGTGCATCACTATCATGATTGATCACATATGATATTGTACAGAGTTTCTCAGCAATGCCAATATTAAGAAGTAAGGATGACATCCACATTTTCTAATGTGTAAAATGGTAAGGGTAGAACTAAATCTCATTACATACAAAGTAGATAAGAAGACAATTTGTTCTTTCTTTCCCTAGTGACCTTTCTTTTCCCTTCCACCCCACCCCCACACCACATACCTACAATGAAACAGAATCAATAGCATGGTAATGCATTTAAGAAAAGGGCTTTATTGTATAACTATCCATTAAAATGTCTTCAGATATTCCAAAGTAATGACAGTAGTACCTTTGCCCTCATTTACCAAATTAACACTTTAGACAAAAATAATTTTCCCTTCAATAAGATTGATCATTACTTAATTCTGAATATTAATAACATTCTGCCACTACTGTGTTGATTAATATTTGTTCTAGAGTCAGGCTACCTGAATGTAGAACCTGGCTGTGTCACTTACCATTTCTATTATTTTAAGCAAGTCACAGTTAAACTGCCAAGTCTGTTTCCCATAAGTAAAAAGGGGACAATAAAAGTGTGCAACATTTTCTAGTTACTCAGAACATTAAATTAAATCATTTATAGAAAATGCTAAGATAGGGCTTGGCATAAAAAAAAAAAAGAGCACAATGACAAAACATTACTACTATTATTATATAATTATTAAATGCCCACTGGGATCTAACCACTTTACTTGGAATAAAAAGCAATGTATGACATCAAGGAACTCATAATTCTAAAGGAGGAGACAGACATGCAAATAAATAACTACAATTCTCTGAGTTTGTCACTTAGACAAAATAGAGTCCTAGTAGGAAGCAAAAAAGTAACCTACTAAATAGAAGCAAAATAGGTTGAATAGTATCAAAATGTTCTAGTTAATACTAAGTAGATGGAAATAATTCAGTTACCACTATATTTATTTTGGCTGTAGAAACTAAATGACCCAGATTTTTAATTATAAAGGGTAAAACAAAGACTATGGTTCCTAGAGATAAAATCTGACTGCCTTTTTGGGGTTTTTTTGGGCATTTTCAGGTGACTGCCTTTTAATGAAGCTTTGTCCCACACGATCAGTTTATCTAAGTGTTTGCCAAACTTCATTTTGAATGGGAAAATGCAAGTCTCCACCCAGGTCCCACACATATTTCATTTTAGTGGATGTGTCATTCAAGTCATATTTCCAAAGTTAAGAGACAACTACAAGGGTGTGTGGTTTCAAGGAGTCTCCATACAAAATTATTTTTGTTGCTTCTGTTATAAACTCATAGTACCTTAATAATTTAAACTTTGTCATAAAAGTGGTTAACTAGGGGCCTCCCTGGTGGTGCAAGGGGTTAGGTCTCAGCATTATGAAGTTCTGTCAGCAGCCTCTGCAGCACGAGTTTGATCCCCGGCCAGGGAGCTACCCACATGGCGCAGCAGACCTCTCCTGGCTCGCCTGCTGCTACCCTCAGCAGTGTATTTTAGTCAATCCACCTGTTCTGCTTCCCACTCTGTCTCTGGTGAATCCTCTCACCCCCCATACCTCTGGCCTACCCCCCAGGTCTTGTACACATAAATAAACCTTTAAAAAAAAAAAAAGTGGATAACTAAACGTTAAGACTACTGTAAAAAAACCAAAAAGTTACACTACTGACTATACTTATTTTATACAAGTCTTTTACGAATTCCTGAAAACGAATGCTAAAGAAAAATATTCCAAAAAGAATTTATTGCTTTTTGTTCAACAATGAGAGTCAACCAGAAAGAAGATATGCAGTGTTCTGTTCTAATGACTGCACAATTTAATCCAGTACAAAGAGAATTAGATGTACCTGTCAAAAGGATCTAAGGAAATACTTAAACTACTTAAACTAATCATTAACTAACCCCATCAAAGAAACAAAGCAGTGAAACAGAACAGCTGATGCATGAACTCTTTGATCATGTATTTAACCAAATATTAATTTCGCCTCCATTCTTTTGTTGGTATTTAACACATATAACAAAAATACAAACTTGTTTTCGTTACATTTTTAGAAAAAAATGTTAAATGCTTTCCTAGTTATATGTAAGTAACAACTAAATGAGAAGCTGAATGTTGAAAAATTAACCTATCTGGAATTATTTTTAATATATAATTATAGATTGAGATCATGTAGTATTAAGTTTGGTTATTTCAAGGTGCATTGCAATAGAAGACAAGATTGCAATTCTTGGATAGCTAAGTTTAACCAACAGAAAGGAAAAAACAGACAAAAAACTAAGTTTAAAAAAAAATGGTATCAGCTTTTTACTAATTCCATACTTATATTGTCTAGAAAATGAATTCTAACTTACCATCTATTTTTTCCTCATAATTAATTTACGCAAACAATCAAAGGTGTATGGTTTCCAACCCTGGTTATACCTCAGAATCACCTGTGAAAAACTACAAATACCAGGGCCCTATCCCAAGAGTGTTAATTCAGAATTTTCAAGTTTAGAGGCTGTCTACCTACATTTTTTTTTTAAGTTTGAAAGGCAATATAGAGCTAATGTAGCTTTAGATTATGAAAAAAAGGAAATTACAATTTCATAGAATCTAGGATTTATTAAAAAATACAGTTAAAGTGCCTAGTATGAGCCAGGTACTACACTAAAAAAAAATAAATAAAATGGCATTTTCCCCTCAAAAACTTTACAGGCTAGCAGAAGAAAACATATCTATATAAAGATAATTATAAAATAGGAAATTCATTTCTATGGCAGAGAAATTGCTGGGTACTTTGGGGAAAGACAAGAGAGACACCAAGTAGAGGGAGCAGAAATAAATTTAAGAGATGTGAAATCTAGTATCAATTCATGGAGTTAACTTTAAAGGATAATTCAATTCAATAAACAGTTATAAAAATCCCATTGTACCACTTACCAATATTAGCCTCAAGTTGCTGGAGTAGGTTCAGATTATGGGAACAGAATTCTGGAGTTAGGTATATAATCCGATATTTGCCTCTGTGAAAACAAACACAAAAAAGAAATATAAAAATAAACTACATAAGGAAAACAATCATCTAATGAATTACAACTTAAAATCATTAATACTAGATACATTTTTAAATAATAGATTATGTCACTTAGGAAAAACTAAATAAATGTTATATGTGTGTGTGCATCCACACATATTAGTTCATTGATTTCAATTCACTTTTCAGGGAGTATTGAGAATACAAGGAATACAGTGACATTAAACAAATTGTGGAATATTCATATACTGTAATCCATTCAGCAATAAAAGGAATGAACTGCAGATACATGCAACAATATGAACTTCAAAATAATTGTGCTGTGATTTAAACCAGATAAAAGAACACGTTTTATGTCTAATGCTGTATACATACAATTTTAGAAAACAAACTATCCTAATCTGTAACAACAGAAAGCAAACCAGTTATCACGGTCAGAAGGATAGAGTAGAGAAAAGATAGAGAAAACTGGGATGAATGGATAATAAAAGGTCTGAATAAACTTTGGGACTGGGTTGTGGTGACGGTTTCATGGGTTTTTATATGCCAAAACTTAATAATTTTTACATATTAAGTATGTAAAATTTATTCTGTCAATTGTACCTCAAAAAGGTGATTACAAATGATTAGGGAAAAAAAATTCAAAAAAGGCTTTATAGGAAAACATATAGCAGCTTTATCAGTAATAGCTCAAAGCTAGAAATAGATTAGGTGTCCATCACCAAGGAAATGAAAAACAAACTTATATCAAAACACTCCAACATTAAAAAGACTACCAATATAAGCAACAACATGGAAGATTTACAAAACATTATGATGAAAGAAGTCTGACACAAAAAGAGTTTTTACTGTATAACTATATATGTAAAGTTCTAGGACAGAAAAAAAAAAGTATGGCAGAAAAAACAGGAAGTTTAGAAATAGAAGTTTAAATTAGAAATAGTTTACTTTGATGAAAGACAGCTGGGAAGCAGTATGGAGAAACGTTTTGGCCTGACAATAGTATTCCAAATCTTGATATGGTTCTGGGTTACATATTGGTATATATTTATCAAAACTCAGTAAATGATATGTATATGTATTAACATATGCACAGACAGGCTCACGGGTTCACAGACAGGTATACACACACGCACGCGCGCACACACACACACCCCCCCCACTTTTTGTGTGACTGAAATATTAATCTTGTTAGGAATTACATCATCAGAGGATTGGTAGGGCGAGAGATCCAGAATCCAGTCCCAACTCAATCATCAATTCATTGAATTAACTGCACGCAAGTTACATTCTCTGTTATTTAGTTTCTGCATTTAAAACTTCTGCACTTCCAAAATCCAAATTTTACAGATCTATAATTACAGTGCTAATCTTGCAGTCTATGAACTGAAAATAATAGATTTTTTTTGGTTTAAAAGATTTTAAAATGACAGTTCTGCAAATGCACCATTAAAAAAAAAGCACAATTTTTAAATCATGGACATTTTGTTCATGCACTGACTAAAAATTTGTGTACAAAATTCTTTCACACACCATAAACACCTGACCATGTGGTTAGAAATCACATAAATTACTCACAATTTAACATCCTCTAAAATATTTTTTGACTGTGCTGATCCAAGAAAACAAGCTGGAATATTGGACATTCTGTAAGAAGAAAAAGAATTATTCTCCAGAGCCAAATACACACTACAAATACCAACTTCATCCTTAAGTAAGAAGGAATAAAGAAACACAGTATGCATATTCCTCTTTGTAAGTCTCGCTGTTCTCGTAACTCATTAATTTTATAAACAAATTCCTTCAAAGGCCATATTAGAAGGCAGTTGTTAAGGTGGGGTTTTCAACAATATTGTAAGCTCAAGTAAAAAATGTTTAAATATTTTTCATAATAAAAATATATTTCCATCTATGCACTCCATACCAGGCTAAAAGGCTAAGAAGAGAAAAGAATTTTGAGATATGCAATGTAAACTGGCAAATGTTTGCTTTTTTTTTTTTTTAAAGATTTATTTATTTATTCGTACAAGCACTGGGTACAGTCAGAAGCGCGGGAGGGCAAGAGAATTCACCAGAGCGAGAACGGAGAGTAGAACAGGCAGAGTGAAGAAGTACACTGCTAAGGGGAGCAGCAGGCGGCAGGAGAGGTCTGTGCGCCATGTGGGACCCCCACCCGGTGACCGGGGATCGAACTGGTGCTGCAGAGGCTTCGGGCAGCTTCGGAACCCAGTGCTCAACTGCTGCGCCACCTGGGAGACCCGCAAATGTTTGCTTTTTAATGAGTTCTACTAGGGCCACATGGTAAGTCTGTTATTACCAAGAACTCAAGGAAGAAAATAAGTTTTATCTAATAAAGATAAACCAACACAACAATTAGAGAAATGTTTTTGAGAACTAGACTATAACATACATAACAGAGGAGTAGTTTCCTTTTTGGAAGAAAAAAAGCATGATAATGTGACAGTGAAAATATCACTTACTCAAGTTGGAGTACTTGATCTTCCATCAAAGAAATAAGAGGAGAAATGACAAGGCCAATCTTGCCTACATAAACAGGTGGATACTGAAAACACAAACTCTTTCCATATCCTAGAAATAAAAATAATGACTCAAAGCAATCAGATAATGCCTTGGTGCTATGATTTCTTCTAAAATACCTGCATGAATGATCAGTACTATGCTATCTTCCTAACAGCTAATATAAACATAAGTTTGAGCACCCACTCCTCACTCTATATTTAACAACATTTGTATTGCATTGTAAGACTCTAATGAAAGACTAAACATTTCAAAATCTTTGTTTTGTTTGTAAAGGATGAGTTTATGTGCTTAAGTATAACTTACCAGTTGCCATGACAACAAGATTATCTCTTCTTTCTTCCAAAACAGAATGAATAACTTTCCATTGAACCCTAGATGGTGAAAAGTAAAATGCTGTTTTGTTTTACTAATAAGAAACCCAAGGGATAAGTTAAATCATTTAATTTTTTTAACTTCTTCCAGTAGAATTTCTTTTACATTATTGAGCTTCAATATAAAAATGTAGGAATCCTGTAACTTTAAAAGAGTCCCACTTCATCAACATCCCATCCAAGCTGATTGAACAACTAGAAGTTTCCATGGGTATATGTAGTACATTTCCTTACATATATCTAAAGTATAAATAAATTCTAAGCTTCATACTAAATATCCAATAGAATAAGAGAAATGTTTTAGGGCAGAACTGAATAAGAAGGTAAATGAAGAAAGTTTCTGGGGTGACTGTAATTTTCTGTTTTGGTAAGGGTTTATGGTACATGGATACATGCATATATACATTTAAGATTTGCAAACATACACTTGAGATTTACACATTTCTTTGTATATAAATTTTATAGCAAAATTTTTAAAAAACATAAATAAGGTTAGGAGTGGATCAAGAGATGTTAATGTATTTAAGCCAGTTTCTAACAATGGCAAGGATGTGGGAAAATGGTACTTATATAACGAGTAAGTTAAATTAAAAATAAACAAATAAACCAGTTTCTACTCAGAAACTCTGTGCTAAAGGAAAACTACTTTTTACTATAAAAGCAATGCATAGAAATTAATTTTATATAAGTATTACTACAAAATTGTAGTCACTTACAGGCATTACAGTGTAGCATGTATAACTACAGTGAACTTGTGCAGTCACTGTTAAATGGATGGATTATTTGCTTTTATACCTTTATGAAGAAAAATAATATATAATTAACTAAGATTATACTCACGGCTTAAAATTAGAATGGCCAAAGTAGGTCTTGAGGCAAGTAATATGCTCTGTATTAGGACCTGGTAATGAATGGTCTTAAATAAAATAAAATGGGCATTCACGTTAAAATAGAAGTACACTAGGTAAGAGAGAAGGAACGTTTTGTTGCATTTGCTTCTTTTAAAGAATATGGTTATAGGTACAAAAGTCTACTGTTTGCTAGTCTTTTAAATTCAACCAACTCGATCCTCCAGGAACCAGTCAACATTTCAGGTAAATACTTTGCTTACTACCTAATACTAAGGTTTAGAACTTTGCTATGGTTCACGCTTTGCCAGCACTATAAAAAAAGGCTTGTGAAATCTGCTATACTTTCAAAAGTTAACATTTAGACTCAACCATGTCAAGAAATATACCAATCCAAATTTTATAAAATAACCAACTTTCAATTGAAGGTACTCAGAAATTCGATTAGTGTCACAAACAAAATCCACAGATAAAGTATTGATTTTAGTTGTTACCCCATCAAATCTTTGACCAGAGTTCTAACTACATAATACAATGGGGCTACGTTAGTTTTAACCAACTGATAATCACTGTCCACTCAAGTAGAAGGGTTCATGTGTGGCCAGGAAAGAGCAAAACAAACAAGATAATTATCTCTAAACAAATGAAATTCATTATTATACTTCTCAGTTTTAACAATTCTAAACAGAAAACTAAATTGGTTTGGAGAGAACATGTCTGTGTTTTTTTTTGTTTTTTGCTTTTTGTTTGTTTTTTTTGTTTGTTTGTTTTTTTTGTGGGACCCTCGACGGTGGCCGGGGGACGAATCAGCGCTGCAGAGGCTGCAGGCGGCCTTGCAGCCTCGCGCTCAACGGCTGCACCACCAAGGGAGGCCCCCATGTCTGCGTTTTTAACACAAGAAAACAAACACATTTTTCAACATCCTCATGTTCTCTCCACCTACAAAATGTATTTTTAATTTTCCACATTACTGATGAAATCTAGCTCTAGGGAGAGTTCTGCTTTATGCGGAGACCTTAGTTTGCCATATGAATACTATTAAACAGCAATCATAGGTGGTTCATGTAGTAAATTCTTTAATGCAGTTAGCATACACAATGTGAAAATTAGTGCATTTCACTATCTGACACTGTACCACTTGTTTTAAATAAGCTGCTTAAGAACAGACACTATGTATCTCTCTATATCATTTACAATACAGTACAAAAGTTCACTGTTTTCTACTTTTTTCAGTGTTTTGATTAATGATCTTTTGATTTTGACAAACAAAATATAAAATCCAGAACGAAAGTTTCCTATCACTATATTTATCAAATAATACAAGATTACCATCACTTTACCTTTACAAATAGTCATTGTGTCTTATGAAGACCAAAGCACTAAGAGATTTAAAAGTCTTTAAACCCTAATAATTAATTTTAGGACACAAAAATCCCTGACACATAAAATGGACACCAAAATAAAGTCAATAGCAGGTGAGTCATTTCCAACCGGTTATAATGCTCACCTTCATAATTTTCTTCTTCAATATCTTCATTCTCACGTTCTTCATCTTGTTCCTCTTCAACAGCTTCATTCTCATCTTCATGTTCTTTAGAAGGAAGATCCAGATTTGTTCCCATATCTGTGCATTTTGAATGAACTGGATCTACCGTGTTACTATTTAGGTTTTCTAAAGTCTGAAAGTTAAAAAGAAATTTTAAAAGCAAAACCACTGACAGTGTCATCGTTTTCACTAAACACAAAAGCAGTATTATTAACAGAGCCTACAATTTTGTTCAAAGCTGGCAGATGTGGAAGCAATACCACAAAGGAACACGTGTGCTCCAGTTTAAATATGTGCTCAAGAATGGTTTCTAAGGCACAAGCCAAAGATGGAATATTTCCAGCATAAACAAAGTTCATTAATAGCATATAGTGAACAGTCCATGGGGAAAGTTATACAAATTTTGAGTTTAGATCAATAAGCATTTTTTCTTTATCATACTTCAGTGCTTTCAATTCCCAATTGGTAAATGTGGATTTTAATGCTATTTTTATAATCAGTATCTCAGTTATCACGTTAGTCACATTGTTTTTGAGTAGAGTAAGATTTAAACTATAAGCGTACAATAAATGTGGTTATGGAAATATGGAAAAAAGATTCAAATAATTTCAGGAAAGGAATATCACAAATATGAAGATACTTGTTTTTATATTGTCTTGATGGTGTCTGATTTCCTCCCCTAAATAAAGATTATGTATTTAAAAAAGTATTTTATTGAGAAGTGACACAAAGAATTACTAAACCACAGTTTTGATCTTCTCTTTTTATCAAACCTCCCATTTAATAAATTTGACTCTAAAAGTTTTTGCTGTTTCTTTCTTTTTTTTAATTCAAGTCCATAAACATTCATAGAAAGTCATTTTGAAAACCAAGTTCTCTCATATGGGCATTCAGGTTGCTTTCCAAGAGGTTCAGTATGTGTTTATAAAAGTCCACACATCCTACAGACATACTAGCTGATCAGCATGCCTCAGAGAAATTCCTTTATCAATTAACCATGAACCTGGCTATAATTTTCTGTTTTAAATGATTTAGCTTTACCCAATTTTATTACCAATATGATTAATTAATAAAGGAAACTGGTTTAGCATTCATGGTCTATTATTACTCTTAATGTTTACTGAACACTTACAAAATGCCAGGTTCTATACTCAACTCTCGATAAGTAATACCTTATCGATAATAATTGTTAACTGAGTAACAAAAAAGTTAAGAAATTTGCCCACAGTCACACAGCTAATAAACGGTGAAGTTGGAATTCAAATTTGATCTAAATTTTAAAATCCACATTCCTAATCACTACCATCTACTCTGCCTCAAAACTAAAGAATCAGAAACCTAATCTCATTTCATAACAAGAAAAATTATAATGACCTAAAGATGAGTAATAAAAATTATACATAAGGGTAAATAAACTATGTTTTACTTCATTTTTTACTTAATTTAGCTAAACTTAGGCTTTTCCTTTTTCTGTCCATCCCTGGTTGACAGCACCTTACAAAAAACTGGTATATTGAGTGAAGGGGTAGAAAATACATAAATTACAATATAATATTTTCAACTATGATAATAAAATTGAGTAAAACTAAACCATTTAAAACATTAGAAAATTATATATATATATATTCACACACATATAATAAATTTTTAAAATCTATAAAAAAAAATCAAAGAAAGTAAAGACTGTTATAAAAACAGAACTTCAAAATAAAAGGGAATACTGGATGGAAGGAAAGGGAAACCGACTGATATTTCAGTACTGTAATACTGAAAACTAACTACATTCTAGGAAAAGATTAAAATCAAATGACCTAAGAGAGAACCGAGATTTTCTAGTATGTAAAATTAGTATACTACTTCTAAAACATTATTCATGATTCACATATAAAGAAAATATGAATTAGAAAACATAATAATTGATACTAATATCACTATGGTAGGACCAGGTTAGAATTAGATAATATTTCACTTAAATTTTCGCTGTAAAGAACTTGAAGTCATTTTCTATAGTTTTAAATATACCTTAAGCATCTCCATTTCTAAATCTTCATCACTTTCAATGACATAAGATATATCTTCTTCATTATTTTTGGAAGATGATTGCTTTAAAAAAATATTTCAAACATTAATGGAATACAATTGACTACATACTCTTTTCTACAAGTCAAATTTTCTATGTACTAGACAGATATATAGACAACTTCCTCTTCCTAGCAGACAAATTTTAATTGCTATTTATAAGTTTATGTGCTAAGTAGAGAGGAAGAAAAGGAGGGGGGGGGGAGGTAGGGAAGAAGAAAAACACAGAATAAAGAACCAATTTAAAAAATATAATTGGAAAGATAGACAAAATAAACAGACTTCAAATAAAGCTCACAGTCTAAAATGAGAGCACAAAGTCACAAGTTTGACTATGGTTGAATAATGTCAAACTGTGTTCTCAAACTTTTTAAGAAGCTCTTTGCTATGCTGAAAATTCTGTAAAAAGCCAGGAGATCACAAAAAGCTAATATGGGGGCCTCCCTTGTGGCACAGGGGTTAAGACACAACCTATGAAGCTATCTGCAGCCTCTGCAGCACGAGTTCAATCCCCAGCCAGCCAGGGAGATATCCACATGGCACAGCAGACCTCTCCTGACTCGCCAGCTACTCCCATCAGCAGTGTATTTCAGTCAATCCACCTGTACTGTCCCCCACTCTGTCTCTAGTGAATCCTCTCACCCCCATACCTCTGGCCTGTACCCCAGTTCTTGTATGCATAAATAAATAAATCTTTAAAAAAGAAACTACTATGATTATAATTTTATCTTCATATAAATCACTATGTTATAAAGAGCATTTCTATATATTTGAAAAATGGTTTCAGATACTTATTCAGCTATTGCCAATACTTCGATATAAGGAAACTTTACAATAGTTAGGCAATGCCCAGGAAGTAAGAGTTCAACAGGATGAGAACCTGCACCAAAAATCCACAAAGGGAATATTAGAAGGACGCAAAATAATGTCTAATCTTTAAATAGGAAGTAGGAAAATAAAGCACATTACATTGGCAACACTAAGTTGTTAAAACACAGGCTTATAGTTGGCAAAGCCTACAATATTTACTACCTGTCCACTCACAGAAAAAACAAATCCGACTAGTGAATTAAAATTGATTTCTCTACCTCAGGAGATTTGCAAATAACATCATTCATGTTTTTTTCTTGAGCCTGCTGTTCCAAAATTTGGAGTTCAGATTCTGTAATATCTAATGACATCAAACAAGTCCTTTTTGCATTCTCTATCAATTTGTCTTCTAATCCATCTTCCAATTTATTTTCTTCTTGCTTCACTTCATTTCCAGGTATATTTTCTACATCAAGTCCAATAAAATTATCAAGTGTTGAGTCCCATTCTTCCTCATCAACTTCAGTACAAATTTTATGTTCTCTAATTTGTTCTTGTGGTACTCCACCACTAGCGGTTGGATCTTCCAGTGGTAATAAGCTAAAACCACTGATGGGTTGCAGTTCAGTCTCTGTGTCAGTGGGTCCTAATATCTTCTTCAATGAATATACATTTTCTGAAATATTCTTCAATAGTATGGAAACCCTAAAAGAAATTAACAAAAGTTAACTCAACATTAATTGCATTAACTATAAGGACATGTTTTAATGCTTTTTAATAGCAGTCCTTTAAAATACCCTTCATTTAGACACAAAGAAATAGTAAGACTCCCCTGCTCATGGATTGGAAGAATTAACATTATCAAAATGGCTATCCAACCAAAAGCAATTTACAGATTCAATGCTATTCCAATAAAAATTTCAATGATATTCTTCAAAGAAATAGAACAAATACTGATGAAATTCATATGGAGCTACCAAAAACCTCAAATAGCCAAAGCTCTCCTGAAAAAAAGACAAGGGAATGGAGGTATCACACTCCCAGACTTCAAACTATACTACAAAGCCATAATAATCAAAACTGCATGGTATTGGAGCAAGAAAAGACACAAGGACCAATGGAACCGAATAGAAAATCCAGAAATAAACCCACAGCTTTACGGTCAACTAATATTTGACAAAGGAGGAAAGAATATGCAATGGGGCAAAGAAAGTTTGTTCAATAAATGGTGCTGGCAAAACTGGGTCGCTACATGCAAAAGAAAGAAGCTTGACTATTACCTCACACCATGCACAAAAACCAACTCAAAATGGATTAAAGAACTAGACATAAGACCTGAAACCATAAAATCTATAGAAGGAAATATAGGCGAATACTACATGACATACACCTCAGTAACATCTTTAAAGACACATCACCCAAAGCAGTGACAGTGAAGGCAAAGATAAACAACCAGGACTACATCATATTAAAGAGCTTCTGTACAGCAAAAGAGACAGTAACCAAAACAAAGAGACACTCCACCAATTGGGAGAAAATTTTGGCACTCCATGCAACTGACAAGGGACTGATCACAAAGATCTACAAATAGCTGATGAGATGCAACAAAAACAAAGTAAATAATCCAGTCAAAAAATAGGCAGAAGAGCTAAAAAGAAACTTCTCTAAAGAGGAAATGCAAATGGCAAACAGGCATATTTAAAAATGTTCAACATCACTTGTAATCAAAATGTTCAACATCACTTGTAATGCAAATCAAAACTACAATGAGAGGGGCCTCCCTGGTGGTGCAAGGGGTTAAGCACCACACTGTGAAGCAATCGCAGCCTCTGCAGCACGAGTTAGATCCCCAACATGGTGAGGAAGACCTCTCCTGTCTCACCCGCTGCTCCCTTCACCAGTGTATTTCAGTCAGTCTGCCTGTTCTGTTTCCCACTCTGTCTCTGGTGAATCCTCTCACACCCCGCATCTCTGGCCTGCACCCCAGCTCTTGTATGCATAAATAAATAAATCTTTAAAAAAAATGTTTAAAAAAAAAAAAACTACAATGCACCCCAGCTCTTGTATGCAGAAATAAATAAATCTTTGGGGAAAAAAATGTTTTTTAAAAAAAACTACAATGAAATACCATCTTACACCAGTGAGAATGGCACATATTAAAAAAACTAGCAAAAACAAATGTTGGCGAGGATGTGGAGAAAAAGGAACTCTCCTGTACTGCTGGTGGGTGTGCAAACTGATCCAATCACTATGGAAAGCTGTGTGGAGATTCCTCAACCTGCTAAAGATGGAGCTGCCATATGATCCAGCAATTCCACTCCTACGTATTTACCCAAAGGACACAGAATCATTAATTCCAAAGGGCACTTGCACCCCTATGTTTATAGCAGCACTATTTACAATAGCTAAGCTATGGAAACAACCCAAATGCCCAAAACAGAGGACTGGATCAAGAAAATGTGGTACATATACACAATGGAAATTTACTCAGCAATCAAAAAAGATAAACTCATGCAATTTGCAGGAACATGGATGGAGCGAAATAAGCCAGAAAGAAAAAGAAAAATATCGTATGGTCTCACTCATAGCAGGAATTTAGAAAACCTAAAAAGGGACCAGGAAAAAGACTAATTATAATAAAGTAAAAATCAAAATCAACAAGCAACTATAAATCAGAGACACACTACGGGGGTGGGGAGGAGGGAATAGGATCAAAACAAGGGGGGGTGGGAACTGTATGGGGACTATAACCAAGATGAAAATGCATACATTGTGCAAAAATGAAAAATGATGCAAAAATATATAAAATTAAAAAGATAATATAATAATTAAATAAAAATAAAATGCCCTTCATTTAAAGAATGTATTGGAATAGAGTTGTTCTTTACTCCCTAATGCTTATTCTGTGCTTATAGCTAGCTGATAACCTACTCTCCAGTACAGCTAGGTAGGCACTTCTGCATTAAACTACTGTGAGTAAGGTCCCAATCTAAGTGCCAATTATACTTTTTATGGCATTTAATTTAAATAAGTGTAAAAGAAATCAATGATACATGAACACACACACATACATACACACAAACCCACTATTTCACTGAATTCTAAATTTAACATATGGAAAGACTTAGTAAATTTCATTTAAAAAAAATTGTCTGATTAACCATAATCAACATAACTAATAATTTGGAGGAGAAATCTTAAAAACTCATAAGATTCTGCATTCACATTGTTTAAAGTATATTACACAAGGTAGTATAAAGTTGTTTCCCTCTGTAAAAACTCAAATTGCTCTATTATTAGTTAGCTAGCTTTAATTTCTCTACTTTTGTCCACTCCTTCACACATTGTTAGTTATAATTCCTAACTGTAGTCATGTGTATCCCATTCTTTATCCATACTCGTCTCATTTTAACTGGATATCCAAACTTGCCAAATTGTACCTATAAACAGAAAGCAAATATGCTATAAATGTGCCCTTGCGCCCTCCATTGGAAATGCAGTGAGTGAGTTTTAATACATACTTGGTATATATATTTTGGTTTTGTTGAGGCGTTTTTGTTTTCTACTGATTCTGAGGTATAATCTAGATAAGTTATCTATTACTACAGACCTACGTAAGAACCTGAAATAAGAAATTTGATTAGTTCTTGTTACAATTACATCTATCTTTATAGAATATATACATAATGGAATACTATTCAGCAATCAAAAAAGATAAACTCATGCCATTTGCAACAACATGGATTGAGCTGGAAGGGATTATGAAATAAGTCAGAAGGAAAAAGGAAAATAGCAATGGTTTCACTTAGAGCAGGAATATAGGGGAACCAAACAAGGGATCAGGAAAAAACAAAACAAAAAACAAAAACAAAACTAGCAGGCAAAAGATAAATCAGGGGCATTCAGCAGGGGAGGAGGGAGCGGAATCAGAACAGGGGAGGGAAGAATATAAGAGACTATGGTGATGGTTCACGGGCAACTTGGTGGTGGGAATTCTATAGGGATTACTCCAAAGAGGAGAAATAAAACATTGTACAAATATGAACAACAATGTAAAAAATACATATATAAATAAGAAAAAACAAAATCTATCTTTACAAAAAATGAATCCATTATTTCCCACACTCGAGTTTTAAGAAAATTTATTTAGCTTTGCTATTACAAAGCAAACCAATAAGGATATTCAATTTATATCACAGATAGTTTGTTAGGGAAAAAAAACAGAAATACATGTAAATATCACACAAGTGATGACCTTCTTTCATGGAGGGAAAAACATAAAAAATGAATATAAAATGGCTTTATTGGTACCCTCACCCATTTGAAAGTTACATCTTTCAAAAATTTCAAAGTTACGGAACACATGCTAGGGAGAAAAATGACTATGAAGAAGAGCTAAATTTCTATATCATATTTCAAAATCTCTCAATCAAAATATATTACAAATCTCATCCAAAATAGAATACATTAACATTGCATTCAGTCAGAGTCATAATTCTTTTTATTTCAACTAATGGCTTCACACTTCTTACTAAAAATTACATTACCACATTATAATTGTTCACTGGTTAAGTGCATTCCTGCTGTTAGGGATTTGACAAAAGATGTTATTTAGCAGTTAAGACTAAGGCAAGGTATGGCTCCAAAGAGAATTACCTACACAGCACCAATTGTCCAACTATCTCGAGCTATCCAGTGCCTTAGCTGTAAAATGGTCATTAAAATCTGAATTCTTTTTTTTTTTTAAAGATTTATTTTTTATTTATACAATAGCTGGGGTACAGGCCAGAGGCGCAGAAGGGTAAGAGGATTCACCAGAGACAGAGAGGGGAGCAAAACAAGCAGACGGACCAAAAGCACTGCTGAGGGGAACGGCGGGTGCGACAGAAGAGGTCTGCTGCGCCATGTGGGAATCTCCTTGGCTGGTTGGGAATCAAATCCGCGCTGCAGAGGCTATGGACAGCTTCACAGCGCTGTGCTCAACCCACTGCGCCACTGGGGAGCCCCTGAATTCTTCTTGTTATTACATCTACTGATTAAGTAGAATTCTTAAATAATACTCACGTGATTACAAGAAAAATGAAGCAACGAAGTATAAAAATTACATTTATTTAAAGATGTCAAGTAACCAAACTACAAATATAATTAAATGAAAGATGCATTCTTAAATGCAGTTTAACAAATGAAAAGATATTTCTCAAATTTACTGTTGTGTATTCAAGAAAATCTGTATGAGACTACCTGAAAAGTAATTCTTCATGTAAGAAAATGCAGTAAGAACAAACAGAATTGATAAAAAAAAAGATAGTATTTAACCTCTGTGGATTTTCCAATTTTCTTAAAGTGTCAGGAAGATGGTTAGCCAGATCCATCATCTCTTCAGAGACTGAAGTCAACTGTTTCTTCACAACACTAGGCAGTATTTCCTCCTCTGAAAAAAACAATCAATTTTAATTTTCAAACTACAATGCAGAGACATTCATCTAACTGCCTCATTAAACAGTAATAGGACTCACATTTTCTTTTTTTTTTTTCTTAAATGAATTCCAACAACAAAAAAAAAACTTACTTATCCTTACTTATCAACTCAGTCACTTACTTCCCTTTTAAATTTTTGCTATTTGGAGTAAATATGGTTATCAACCTAGGCAAAAGGAAAAGGTAGAAATGAGGATCTAAACCCATGGGCACTATTTCAAAATCAGAAATCAATATAACATTATGTGAGCTGCTATTTATAGCAGTTAGGATAACCTTACCCTGACACTCATTCTTTACTCCCTGTTTAAAAATTATCACCAAAATAATATGCAAGTCTTTCTAATCAGAAAACTTCTTCCGAACACTCATTTCATTCTGTCTGGTATAACATCCTCCATCAAAACCACAAAACCTGCCCTCATTTCCCAAGCCCTTCCCTGCTTAAATTTCTTACTCTTCATCACCACTTCTCTCGTCCTTCAAAGAGGCCAGCTCCTCTGAAACATATGATATATAACCAGAGTCTCTGCTATTCCTGACTGCTGTTTCTATCTTGTGATCTCAAAATCACATCCCTTCATTCATTAAAGATTTACTTCCCTGGTACACTGTCATTACTTTCACTACTACTCCTGTGATAACTCCTAGTGATTTCAATATTCACAGAGATACTCCATCCAAAAGTATGAGGTTTTCAGTTCCTGGGTTCTTCCATTTTCAATAGTCTTTTCCTCTTGTGACCTCAGTCACCTATTGCCATAGCCATAGCCTGGACTTTATAATTACTAATGAAGTAACAACTTCCAAACTTCAACTGTAAGCATTATACCCTCTGAATACCAGCATGCTTTCCCCAATACAACAATTATTTGACACTTTCAGAACCAAATTCATTGACCTTATCACCTTTTCCTTACCCACTCCTACTCTCTATCACTCCTACTCTCTATCATGTCTTCCTTTCCTTTCTTACCAATATTATAATAACCATTCCCTTTTATGGACTCACAATTCTTTTGTTCTCCTCTCACGTGGTACTTACTTGACAAAACCCCAACTCTAACTAAATCTAGATTTTAACCTACTTAATAACTATATCTAAGTAGGTGAACATAGGTGAAAATGAAACAAAGATTTGACTCATTTTATTTTAATTTCATCACACACATCTCAAATGAACCTTCAGTACTGATGGATAATTATTCTCCACTTCCTGTTTCCCCTCTCATAATGACTATTTCAAAACTCTTTCTTTTCAGCCTCTAACAACTGCTTATCCCTTTTATTTAGGAAATAACTTCACCTCTCATTTCCCTAAGAGAATAGAAAAAAGAAAAGCGATTATTTTAAATTCCTACCACCAATCTGCTAAATAGTCCATATTCACATCACTACTTCAATTTATAGAAAAACTGCTTGAAAGAGTTATCCATATGCACTTTTACTCAAATTTATCTTCTTAAACTGACTGTAATGAAGCTCCCATTCCCAGGAGTACAGCAAGGAAGCTTTTAGAAAGGTTACCAATGGTCTCGACACAATCAAATCTATTACTTCTAGTTCTTCATCTCACTCAAATTATCAGATGTATTGAAAACAGTTGATATCTTACTCTTACTTAAAACACTTTCTTCACTTGGGTCTGAAGACTATGCCTCCTATAATTCATTCTTCATTACTGCTCCTTCTCAAGTCACTGTCATCTCAAGTCGCTATCTCTTATCTTCCTAACCTCTAAGTGCTGGCATGCCCTTGATGTCAATCCTTGGTTCTCTTCAGTTCTTCATTCCATTCATTCCCTATTTCACCTTATCGAGCTTCAGTTCTTTAACTACCATCTGTCCCTACTTTACTACTGTGCCCCATCTGAGCTCAAACTACTCTATGAATAGATATGCTATCATCCACATTCCAAAACACAGGAAAAACAGGCAAACCCCAAATCACATGGCTGGGATTCCACCAGTGGTCTACATAACACAAAAGTCCATGCTCTTTCATTTTACTATGCAGATCAATATCATGACCTATCAAGATATCTAAGACACTGCATCATTCTTTTGAGAAAAAGAGCAGGGTTATTCTACTCTAGAGAAAATTTAGAAATTTAAACCAGGACACTATAAAACAATCTTATACTTTTAAAGATTTATGTGTAAATATCCAATATTTGTCTTTGACATTCTAACTTGCTTTACTACAAACAAATCCCTCAGTCTCTGCTGGGGACCAGCTCCAGTGAACAGGGTAAGGAGAAGAATCTGGAAGAACTGAGGAATAAAGAAATGACAGACACAAAATAGAGTTTAAAAACAGACCTTGTTGACCAGTCTTCAAGTTACGACTCCGACATTCTCCCTGTCTCAGCACCTCACGCCTTAGGTTTCTCCAACAAGTCTCTTCCATTTTACTATAAATGTAAACATTTCACTTCCCTTATGGCTGAATCATATTCCAGACTGTGGACATACAACATCGTCTTGATCCAGTCTTCTACTGACTGGGGATTTTGGTTGCTTTTTGTGTCATTGCTATTATAAATAATGCCATAATAAACAGAGTATAGAATATAGTTTTTTGACTTGATGGTTTCACGTTCTTCAGTAGATACCTAAGAGTGGGATTGTTGAGTCACATGGTATTTCCATTTTCAGTTTTTAAGGTTGCTCTCCATAATGGCTGTACTGGTTTACATTCTCAACAACAGTATGACAGAGTTCCTCTCTCTCTACAACCTCTGGAGCACTTACTGTTGTGGGTGTTTCTAATATGAGCCATTCTCACAGGTATGAGATATTACCTCACTGTGGTTTTAATCTGCATCTCTACTGGAAGTAAGGGTGAACATTTGGCCTTTGAGATATCCTCTTTGATGAATTGTCTGTTCAGCTCTGTTGTCCATTTAATTGGGTGGCTTACTTTTCTACTGTTGAACTGTATGAGTTTATATATATATATATATATATATATGTGTGTGTGTGTGTGTGTGTGTGTGTGTGTGTGTAGAATATTAAACCCTTGCTGGTTATGTAACACGTAATATATTTTCCCACTCAGCAGGATGTCTTTCTAATCTACTTATACTTCCTTTCCTGTATAAAATCTTTTTAATCTAAGGTAATCCCAATTGTTTTCTTTTGCTTTTATTTACCTTGCCACAGGGACTAAGCCTCCAAAAACATTTTTATCATTGATGTCATGGACTATATCACCGACGTTCTCTTCTACACTTGAAAGATTTATGGCAAGGGTGTGTAATTTCCAGACTAAGAAATAGCTGATTACACCATTGATAATCAAAGTCCAACCCTCACAGCCTAGTAAATAGCAAAGCTACAAAGTGAAAATAATATGAACTGCTTTGCACAGTATCATCACTGAAACTCTAAGTTTTGGCCAAACAGATCTCACTCTAATGCTCACATACTCAAGAAGTTGTAATAACAGATAACTTACTCATGTGTAAATGTTGCGTTTTTTGGAGATAAATTTCAGCGAAGAGATTTGAATAAGAAAATAAAATTCAAATTTGAATTGAATTTTATCTTTTATTTTTATAACATACCTTGGTTTAAAGCAAACATTTGCATAGCATCACCCAAAACTTGTAATTTTTGATAAAGGATGAGGCCTGCCTACAAAGACACAAAAATGAAAAGAACATGCTAAGATAACCAAAATAAAACTGTAAGTCCCATCTTTAGTAAAATGCAAAATAATGATTCCTAAGGTGCCCCAAAAGTTGAATTTAACCAAAAATGTTATACAAGTTTCTAAATGTCTTCATTTAATCATCACACCAACTGTGAGAAATAAAAGTTTAAGTTTTCAGATTTTAACACTCAATGTTATCCTAATCAAAAAATGTATAAATGGAATGTAACAATATAAATCAGGTGAGAGAAATTTTTTTGAACTACACAATACTTACCTCTCTATATCTCATTAAATCAGCTAAGACTGTTAGTATAAGAACAGTGTTCCTGGGCCTCCCTGGTGGCGCAAGGGGTTAAGCACTGCACTATGAAGCAATCCGCAGCCTCTGCAGCAGAGGTGCGATCCCCAGCCGGCCAGGGAGCAACCCACATGGCGCAGCAGACCTCTCCTGACTTGCTCACTGTTCCCCTCAGCAGTGAATTTCAGTCAATCTCCCTGTTCTGTTCCCCACTCTGTCTCTGGTGAATCCTCTCATCCCAACCCCACACATCTGGCCTGTACCCCAGCTCTTGTATGCAAAAATAAATAAATCTTTAAAAATAATAATAATAATAAATTTTAAAAAACAAACAAAAAAAAACAGTTCCTTTTAAATGGTATTAATGGGAACAATCAAATCACACTGATTTTACATGAATAAAAATGCTACAGAATTTGTACTAGTAGTCAACAAATTTCATGATTTTTTAAAACAGAACATAAAGGAAAACCATCACCCTATTTTGCAACAAAATTGGATCTTTTTCTATTTATAAATAAAAGGAGCTTCCATTCCTAAAAACAGATGTAACAAAGTCCAGATTTCACTATGTATGAATATGTAAATATGAAAATATATTTGACTACCAGCAGTGAAAAGCAAAATTTGGAGGCAGTTTTTCTAAATTTCTACCACACTTAAAATGTAAATGTAAAAATAAGGCCAGTTTCAATATAGAAACTGTCTTGTAATTTTTATTCTGAAGTTATTTATAAATCAAATACATCATCATTATGATTTGTGCTTGCTCAATCTAAGTTTATTAGCCTTTCATGTTTTCAAATACTTCATATTCCTAACACACAAATTGTACATTATTTTGGTTTCACAACAATAAAATACCTAGCACTGAACAATATGTTGATTAGTATTTGCTAATGAAAATTGAGAATTAACAGTTTCACTAAGTGTCTGCCTAAGCATTTTTAATGCAAAGCTCATTTAAAATATTTAGTTGGGGCCTTCCCTGGTGGCGCAGCGGTTGAGCGCTGGGCTGTGAGGCTGCCCGCAGCCTCTGCAGCGACAATTCATTCCCCAGCTGTCAGCAAGGGTCCCACAAAAAAAATAAAATAAAATAAAATAAAATAAAACATTTAGTTAAGTTTGTACACATAATAAGTTCTCTGTAATTCATTATAAGGTTTTAAGGTTTTAAAAATATAATCTTAAGATCTTCAAATACATACATAAGCATCAGTGGCTGCATACAGTTTCTGGTCCTCGGTGAGAGGAAAATTATTCCAATTGCTACAGCGGATAGACTTGTCTTTCAGAAGCTGTTTACCTAAGATGTGTTTAACCAAAGCATTGAGGCTCCACGTCTCTATACATTTTAGCTAGAAGTAATGAAAAATCAACATAGCAAAAATTACTTCCTTCAATTTTAGATAGTCTTAAATGCCATAAGCCATGCCACAAATAAAATTGGAAATGTTATGTCAAAAGGTAGTATTTAACATATTTCCTCTCACTTGAAAAAAAAAAAACATCTCATTTGCAACTTGTATTTTAAGAAACTAACTGTGGAATTTATTCAATGCAGGTATTAAAATTCTGGGATTAGAAAAATTACTTTTCATGAGAAAAAGCAAAGTAGGTTGGTAGACTTCCTACTTCCCAGCCAAATAAAAACTTGATTAAATGTGGGAACTTAATGACTACATCAATAAAATATGTGAAATATAGGTGGTAGAACTAATAATCAAACTTCCACTAAAAGCATTATACTACAAGAGTTGCACATGCTTCCCCTTATAATAAGTTATTGGTATAAATGAATTAAAGAAATAAAATATTTAAATTTGAAACCATGAAATAGTACCAGATATTAAGGATTAAGGGTACTTGCCTAAAGAAACTGTATGCTAAGGCAATGGATTAAAACTGAAGGTTTATGTTACAATTCACTTTTATAGTTATACAAGTATTATAGTTTAGTTTCTCGAAAATTTTCTAACATTCAGACAGAAGGTACACATTCCATGAAATAGAATATTGTTTTTCCTTATGAATTTTTGTATTATGTCTACCTTTCCATTGGCAACATTTGTCAGTTCCACAAAACCATTCAACTTGATGTCAAAGTCACGTAGAAGTTTCCATTGATCGCCTTCAATTCCTATACCTGCCTTTTTAATTGATTCATTTTCAAGCAACATCTTTAATCCCTGGGGAAAAACTATAACATTTTATTATTACCTAAAAGGATTTCAACAAATATGATGGATTTACTTTGTTTCTTACAATTTTCTGTTTCTTTTTAAATTTGTATTTATGTTAGGTTTAAGTTCAGAAATGCATTTACATTGAATACTTCTTGTCCTAGTAAAGCAAAAAGTCCTAACGGATAAATGACAAGACAACGCTTGAGTTCTGCCTCTACTATCAATAACAATGTATACCTGACCACTTAACCCCCTAAACTCTACTTTGCCACTCTACTACAGGAATAATAACGCCTGACAGAGATGATGTGAACATTAAATAAAACAAGGGTTGTAAAAGAATCAGGTAGAACATAAATACCAAAAAAAAAACATGGCGTTGAAGAAGTATCAACTAATTTGAGAACTTAATCAGGATAACCTTAACATAACACAATTATTTACTATATAAAAATGAAACAAAAGAAATACCAACCTGACGTAAGAGAAACATGAAACAAGTAGCATCTGCTTTCTGACACACATAACTGAATTAATGCAACTTTGCCCAGGTTTCCTTTATTGTATATTGGTGGCCATTCCATGTCAAATCCTACCACATCTCCATCAGACAGACTCATCCTGAAGTTGAAAAAGGTATAGATTAGGCGCGCGGACCTCTCCTGCTGCCCGCTACTCCCCTCAGCAGTGTACTTCTGTCCTTCTGCCTGCTCTGCTCCCCACTCTTGCTCTGGTGAATTCTCTCACCCTCCCCGCTGCTCTTCTGACTGTACCCAGTGCTGGTATAAATAAATAAATAAATAAATCTTTAAAAAAAAAAAAAAAAAAAAAGGGGGGCCTCCCCGGTGGCACAGCGGTTGAGCGCTGGGTTGCAAAACTGCCCGCAGCCTCTGCAGTGCTGGTTCATTCCCAGCTGCTTCCCAGCCACCGGAGGAGGGTCCTACATGGCACGCAGACCTCTCCTGCCGCCTGCTGCTCCCCTCAGCAGTGTACTTCGATCCTTCTGCCTACTCTGCTCCCGCTCTGGCTCGGTGAGTTCTCTCACCCTCCCGCACTTCTGACTGTACCCAGTGCTTGTATAAATAAATAAATAAATCTTTAAAAATAAATAAAAAACTTAAAAAAAATACAGATTAGTTTTATGAAAAATCTGTAATAGTTACATTAAAATTTATACTTCAGCATGACTATAGGCATCACTGAAAACATTAAAAGAGAAGTCACAGAGAGTAAAAGATACCTGTGATATATCATTGATAATGACTAGCCATAAAGTATTAGAAATTTCTTTATAAGTCAACAAGGACACATAATCCAGTAAAAAAAAGACAGAGAAAAGAATCCATACCAATTCCCAAAAGGAAATGCAAATGGCCAATAAACCCAAATAAATAGGTGAAGACACAAAATCTCACTAGAAATCAGAGAAATGTAAATTAAATCTTTATAATTTCATATTTACCAGATTGGCAAAAATTGAATGCTGAGAAGGATATCTATCAACAGGTCCCTTGGTGAATATATACACTGCTAAAATCCTCTTGGAAATAGCTTTGACAACATCTAGTTGAAGATGTACAAACATGATAACCCGGCAATTTTTTTCTCATAATCTATGAACCTTTCATAAGTGCATAAAGAGGCAGAAATGTGTAAAATGTTTATTGCAACGCTATTCCTACTGGAAAAACCAAACTCCATTTTCAACAAGAAAAAGCTCCTTTCTTTGAAGGAAGACAACGAAAATCTAACATTTGACAAGGTAAAATCATTGCTAAGGCAAAAACTGCCAGCCTCAATAAAAAGAACAGGAAAATAGGATCCTTAACCAGGATAAAAATCATTAATAAATAACTGTAATAATAGTATTTAGTATGGGCATCACAAAATGATAATATAAACAACTATTATAAGTATGCTGAATATATTCAAATATTTAAAAGAAAGGAATATGATGATAGCTAAAATGGAAAGTATTTTTTTAAAAGAAAAATGGAATTTCTACAGATGAAAAATACAATATAAAATAAAATATTCACATAATAAGTGAACCTGCAGAATATCAAAAGAAACTATTCAAATTGAAAGCAGAGCAAAATGTATAAAAAAAGACTAAAAGGAAAAAAAAGCTTCAGTGACCAATGACACAGTATAAGCGATCCAACTTACATGCATGTAAAAATCCCAGAAGGAGAGAAGGAACAGGATGAATGGGAAAAAAAAAAAAAACTTTAAGAAATTTTCAAATTTGCTATAAACATTGTAGGGCCAGTGCTTGAAGCTTGGCCAGATTCTTTCTGGATGCCTTGGCAGGCCTAACATGTCTTTACGGAAGCAGCAAGAGATAGGAGCAGCAGCAGCAGCATCCAGGGCCCAGGCATGGTACATAAGGGGCAGCAGCAGCCCCCCGTTGGGAGCTCTGTTAGCATTTATATGATTTATAGACAAAGCCAGCAGAGGGCCAAATTTATGCCTAGGTTACACATGTATGTTTTTGCACATGCAAACAATACATCAAGGTTATGTATTATTTACTGTTTTCCACATATGTGGACTACATCTCAAGGTTACATGTTATCTACTAGGTCACCTGTGCTGGAAATCACAGCAGAAAATAGCCTGAGAAACTCTGAGAAAACTCTTTTTTCACTTGCCCTACAAATATGCAGATCCAAAAAGCTCAACTGATTCTCCTACACAAACCACATGTCACGAATGTCTATACATCTTATAAACATTCTCTCACCCTCACGCGCTTCTGACTGTACCCAGTGCTTGAATGAATAAATGAACGAATGAATGAATGAATAAATAAATCTTTAAAGTGGCCTGAGAAGGGTCAGAAAGCTAGGGTGGGAGAGAGCTGCCTGTCATTCATAAAATACATATAATTCATCATATATACATTCTTCAATCATGTATGCTTACTGTCTTCAAAATATTTTAAAACTGCCAAAGGTAAGATGGTAGACTTACTATATAATTACAAATGATAGATTTTGCCTTTTCTGTGAACAAATAAATTTCTATATATAATGACACCTAAAAGTGGCCAGGTAACTACAGTGGGAGTGAGGACAGCTAAATACTATTTTTAGATAACATCTATCACCAGTAGACCATTAATAAATAGCTTAACTTACCTTAGCTTCTTTCACCTCAGTTTAAAAAAAAAAAAGACAGGTATAACTTCAAAGAAGATGTGAATGAATTTCTCACTACATCTGCTTATAAATTGATTCAAAAATCTTAGATCGCATTATTGCAACATCCTAATTTAACAAGACAACTTTTTTTATTTTTTATACAATAGCTGGGGTACAGGCCAGAGGTGCAGGAGGGTGAGTGGATTCACCAGAGACAGAGTGGGGAGCAGAACAGGCAGACAGACTGAAAGCACTGCTGAGGGGAGCAGCTGGTGTGACAGAAGAGGTCTGCCGCACCATGTGGGATGCTGAGGGCAGCTTCACAGCGCTGTGCGCAACTCACTGCGCCACCAAGGAGGCCCCAAGACAACTTTTAAAAATATATAGTCATTTCCAATGTTCTTCTTAAGGATATTTGCTATAATTATTGCTAACCAAACACAACAGAGTTAATCCCAACCAATATTTTTAATGACATATAAAAGGGCTATTTAGGGGTTGAATAATTCTTGAATTTTTCCCTATTAAATTGGTAATCATATAGTGTTCCAGTACTTCGACATATAACACTTTCAGTACAGAAAGTCGAAAAGTTAGCTAAAATGTAAAAAGACTTATAAAAGAACAAACAGGTACATAACAAATTTAATTCAGTGACTTTAAGTTTTTATTTAAAAATCAAAATTAACATTTTTCAGTGATATTCTATATGTAGAAATAATTATCTACTGAACACACCTCAACTGTAAAATTAAACATACTTACCAATAATAGTTATCTTTGAAGAATCCAAAGTCAAATGAAACTGTGAAAATGAAATCTCTTACCTAATATCTTCAGCTAGTAAAGAACAATCATTAGCTTCATAACTGTACACTATGGATCCAGAGAATTCTAAGAAGGGAAGATCATCTTCTAAAACACTCTTCTTAATACATGCCTTGAGTTAAAAGAAATTCCAAAAAGCATAAAGTTTACATTAAAAAATAAATCTTTGTTGACATAAAAAAGCTTAACTGAAGCATTCAAATTACAATTCTAAATTTTCTCAACTTATGCTTTCTAGACTAATGCAATAAAGATAAATACATCCATTGTAAGATTATTTTTCTAACAAGCATATTTGCAAAAACTTATAATCCTATTTTTCTAAAACCATTTATTTTAATGAGTTTTTTCTACAATTATATTAGTATTGTAGATGTAATAATATTGCCTTAAATTATCGCTGAAGATTAGTTGGTGGATCTTAAAACTGGTTTAACCATAAAATTCATCAAGGTAAATGGACCTCCCCGGTGGCGCAGCAGTTGAGCACTGGGTTGCGAAGCTGCGGGCAACGCAGCTTTAGTTCCATCTACAGCGCCGGTTCGATCCCCGGCTGCTCCCCGGCCACCGGAGGAGGTCCCACATGGGGCGCAGAACTCTCCTGCCGCCCGCTGCTCCCCTCAGCAGTGTACTTCGGTCCTTCTGCCTGCTCTGCTCCCCGCTCTGGCTCTGGTGAATTCTCACACCCTCCTGCGCTTCTGACTGTACCCAGTGCTTGAATGAATGAATGAATAAATAAATCTTTAAAAAAAAATTCATCAAGGTAAATACTAATTATCTGAATTTGAACTAACTAATAAGGTCACCCATGCAAACTATATAAATGGAAAAGGACAGAGTAAGAATTCTCATTTTGTTAACCCAATAAATGTAATCCCAGTCACACACTGAATGACTAGATTCTGTTTCATTCACACCACAGCAACTCTAACTTAACCAATCACCTGAAGTTTACAAGTGAGGATGGGCTCATTTCATAGTCAAGTTTAAATTAAGTTTCGCATCTGAAGAATAATTGATGAAGTGCATACCTTTCTTTTTTCCACAGCACCTCTCTCAACCTGCGTAAGCATCCACTCAGGAAGTTTCCGCGGTGGTGGAGTTGATGCCTTTTTTTTTTTATTCATCTTTAAATCGCTCTAGTTGTAGAATACAAAGATACAGTTGCTTTATGAGTAAATACAGTACAATCTTTGAAAGAAAACTCAAACATAAGCCTGTCAATATGATTGAAGAACCAGATATACATATTTAAGGTAAGTTATGGCATCTGGGCCCAAGCATAGCTCATAAGAGCTGGAATGATAGAAGAAAAAGGATACAGTATGCTGGGTTTACTAACTAAACATTTAATATTTCTTCCTTTTAAAATAAGTCTGTCTGAGTTCTAAGGTTTTAGCACTTTCAAAATACTATTACTCCATGGCATTGAACCTTTCAAAAGTAATCTTTATCTCATTAATAATGAAAATTCTTGGGTATATAAGTTGCTATGAATTATTGACATTTTTAATTTCCTTATCTCCTAAATTTTAAGTAAACTCTGTAAACTGTTAGAATTGTTCACAAGTCTATGTGAAAATCAATTCTGAAAATCAATTCTGGTAATAGCTTTCCTGTATTAAGAATTTTTTACAAGTCTTTTGGTCTAGCAAGTGACCAAATTTTCCTAAGAACAAAGTTTTGTAGATGACCAAAAAGTTTCCTAGATTATTTTTTTAGTCTGTTACTTGCATTGAGGGTTTTCCTCAACGTAAACCAAACTTCAAGAATTGTTACAGAAAATACAATGATTAAGATAACTATGACATGTTCTTTTTGTTAATGGTGGATGGATCCATACAATACCCTCATATGGATCCATACTTAACATACTAAATAAGTAGCCTTAAGTTCTTAAATTTCTTCAATCCTTTTTTTCACAAAGATGGCACCAAAAGTAAAGAAGGAAGCCACCTCCAAAGCCAAAGTTAAAGCTTTGAAGGCCAAGAAAGCAGTACTGAAAGGCATCCACAGCCACAAGAAAAAGAAGGTCTGCACTTCACCCACCTTTTGGACACCCACGACACTATGACTATGAAGGCAGCCCAAATATCCTCAGAAGAACACTCCCAGGAGAAACAAGCTTAATCAGTATGCCATCAAGTTTCCTCTGACCACTGAGTTAGTCACAAGGAAAACAGAAGACAACACACTTGTGTTCATGGTGAAAGTCAAGGCCAACGAGCACCACATCATACAGGCTGTCAGGAAGCTCTATGACATTGATGTGGTCAAGGTCAACACCCTGATCAGACCTGACAGCATATGTGCAACTGGCTCCTAATTATAATGCTTTAGATGTTACCAACAAAACTGGGATTATCTAAACTGAGTCCCAGCTGGCTAATTCTAATTTTTTCACCATTAAAAAAAATTTCTGGGCCTCCCTGGTGGCACAAGGGGTTAAGCACTGCACTATGAAGCAATCCACAGCCTCGGCAGCATGAGTTCGATCCCCAGAGAGCCACAGAGAAACCCACATGGCAAAGCAGACCTCTCCTGTCTCGCCCGCTGCTCCCCTCAGCAGTGTGTTTCAGTCAGTCTGCCTGTTCTGTTCCCCACTCTGTCTCTGGTGAATCCTTTCACCACCACCCCTCACCCTCATCTCTGGCCTGTATTCCAGCTCTTGTATGCATAAATAAATAAGTAAATCATTAAAAAAAAATTTCTTCAATCCTAATCTTTGTCCTGGTTATGTCAAATTTCTTATAAAAAGGCAGCCATTTTAAATATATACCTGAAGATGCTTATGATAAAACATGATATTAATATGAAAAAATCAAAGCAACTATTTATGATTTAGGGAGAGTCTGCTATATTTAGCAATATAAACTCTGAAAAAATTAAACAGTATCTGGCAAGTATTCATTTTAACAGTCCATTTTCCCAAGCATAAGCCTCCAAAGACAGAGAATGATAATTTATCGAAGAAAAATTTAAAAGATTAGCAAACAAATTTTCCATGAGAACAAACTCTACCACACTTATGGAGTTACAAGGGAAGAGCTAACTATAGGCTAGTATTTCACTCTCCCTACTGGGAAATGAGAAAGAAAAGTTCAACCAGGGTTACTGGTAAACACGCTAAAGATCTCAAACCTGATGGGACAGCCTTGTAAACCTATCAATATTCCAACAAGCAAAAAATCACCAGAGTATCAATCAAGAAAATGTTAGCAAAATATAGTTTGACTTTCTAGATTGCTTAATATAAATAAGCCCAGAATTATAGATTTGTTCATTTATGGATAGAAAATAGAGACTAGCCAAGCAGCTGTATAATTAAAAGAAATCAAAAGAGAGGTGTTTCAAAGTCAAAAACAACTTAACTTGTGGCAAATATTTTTTTCCATACACTGCTCAAAACTAACTTGTTAAACCAAAACTATAACATATCCTAATGCAGAAGAAAAGGACATTCTTGAAATCTGTCTCTGATAGTTTGGTGTTCCTCCAAAAAAACAGAATAGCCATCTGCACTTAGTACATGTCTATATTCTTTAAATCTTTTTTTTTTTTTAAAGATTTATTTACTTATGCATACAAGAACTGGGGAACAGGCCAGAGGTGTGGGGGGTGAGAGGATTCACCAGAGACAGAACGGGAAAACAGAACAGGCAGACTGACTGAAATACACTGCTGAGGAAATCAGCGGGCGAGACATGAGAGGTCTGCTGTGCCATATGGTTAGCTCCCTGGCCAGGGATCGAACTCGAGGTGCAGTGGCTGCTGACAGCTTCATAGGTTATGTTTTAACCCCTTGCGCCACCAGGGAGGCCCTGTAGTCTTTAAATCTTGAGCAAAGATCTATGAGTCTCTGAATAAGAAATGACATCTCATGTCTTATGGTTTCCACCTGCATTATATGTAATAAAATAAACGTCATATATTTAAGCTTATATGTTTGATTAACTGTCAAACATTTTACAAATATTATTAAGTTTATATCTGTCACAAAATCAAAACAATTAACAAGAGTCGAAAATTGATCCCCAAAATACACATATGTATTATTTGTTCTTAATCTTAAGATACATCTTTATAAGACAGGAAAACAAGTTTTTGCAATAGAGTAAATCATTTGCAACACTGCCAAAACTGAGGTTTCAACAAATAGTATAAAACTCTATAAAACCTTGGAATTTGGTAGGTAATTAATTCACAGTCAAAACAGAAATAAACTTCAATAATTCTTCCCTGCAACTACCTACAATGCTAAAATCATTTTAGTTTGAAAGTCTAATTTTTAGATGTATATATCCTCTTATACACGCGAAATTCTTTTGAGATACTTCCAGGCTAAGAATTCGAAAGTAAACTTGATTACAACCCAACATCTTTGTCAAATTTCTTGGGACAAATAAAAAGCATACAAAAAACTAAAGTTGTAGAATAATTTGCAGTTGGGAAATCCTTCAACATACATGAAAATTTTAATTGTTCATCAAATAAAGGTTATCTTGGAAGGGAACTAAGAACATTGAATAATAACATTTTTTAACTTACATATTTAGTTGCCATTGGGTATAAACATCTGACAAGGCTTTCTAAAATCAAGTCTTTTATTATTCATAATGTATTTCACATTGTATCATTAAAGGACCTTAAATTCCTCTTTGAAAAGTCTTATTTGCTTTGGTCTGGACTTACCTGAAATCATCTTGCCTATTTACTACTATCTGCCATTTTTCAACCTTTATATCTTTTAAAAGGTGTCTTAAAAAACATACACCTAGGATTTTGGGGAGGTTTTTTTGGTTTTGTTTTGATCACCCCATTTGAACATGTATATTTTTTCACAGGGAAATTCATCTTATTCACAGTGTAAAAACTTGAAGTTTTTCATCTTAGTTTTATTAGAATTTATATTACTTCATTCGTTTCTTGTTATTCTTCTATTTCTTTTACTTTGTGAAATTATCACTAATTTTCTTTTTTTCCCCATTGTCAAATGTTGAAATTTAACTTTTTTCCCACCCTATCACAGTACTATCTCAGCAAGACAATGTAACTATAATCCCTACCCACCAAGATCCTACACTTGTGCTGTTCCTGTATCTAACAAGGTAAAATTCTTAGAATGTTTTTACTACCCTACCCTTCTAACTACTGTTTTTTGCTAAAATAGTTTCAGTTACAGACTATTTGTTTTCTTAGTATTACTCTTCTATTTTCAGAACTTTGCTATTTTTCAACATTTATACATTATCCATTTAAATATAAATGTATACATGTTTAAATGTATATATAAATATACGTATGGCTTACTATAGTTTCCTCCTCCTGTCATCTTCCCATTTCCTGAACCTCTGTTCTAACTCCAATATCTGGAGAACTTTCTCAACTATTTTCTTTCAGTAGACTATATAAATAATAAACTCAGATCTCTTGCCTATGTGTACATGTATTTTTCCACCAGGTAAGAGAATGGTATGTTGGCTGAAAATAAGTCTCTAAGTAGTTTGCAGAAAATGTTCTTAATGTCTTACACCTTTTTCTTTCTTTTATTGAAGCAACATTGGTTTATAATATTATATGTTTCAGGTATATAGCATTATAATTCAAAATCTATATATGCTACAATATCATGTCCATCAAATGTCTAGTTTCCATTCACCATTATTAAGTCATTCACTTTGTGATAATTATGGCATATATAGTAAACTAATAAAACCCTATTACTATTTAGTTATTAACGATCATATGTACTTTTTTTTCCTTCTACAGCATTAATTCACGATAGTGAATTTTCTCTTGCCTGGATTTCTTCTAGTCTCTTATTTATTCTAGTCTCTAAGTGACAGTCAGCTTATCTATTGAATTCTTATTAAGATTGATTGTTACTGGGAGAACATTTTTGCACACAACACTAATGATAAAGGACTGATCACAAAAATCTGCAAAGAGCTGATGAGACTCAACAACAACAAAGAAAATAATCCAGTCAAAAAATGGGCAGAAGAGCTAAAAAGAAACTTCTCTGAAGAGGAAATGCAAATGGCCAACAGGCATATGAAAAATGTTCAACATCACTTGTAATCAGGGAAATGCAAATCAAAACTACCATGAGATACCATCTTACACCAGTGAGAATGGCACATATTTAAAAAACTAGCAACAACAAATGTTGGCGAGGGTGTGGAGAAAAAGGAACTCTTCTGCACTGTTGGTGGGAGTGCAAACTGGTCCAACCACTATGGAGAGCTGTTTAGAGATTTCTGGACCTACTAAACATAGAGCTTCCATATGATCCAGCGATTCCACTCCTAGGTATTTACCCAAAGGACACAGAAACATCAATTCCAAAGAACACCTGCACCCCTATGTTTATAGCAGCACTGTTTACAATAGCTAAGCTTTGGAAATAACCCAAATGCCCAAAAATAGATGACTGGATCAAGAAGATGTGGTACATATACACCATGGAATATTACTCAGCATTCAAAAAAGATAAACACATGCAATTTGCAGCAACATGGATGGCGCTGGAAGGGATCATGCTCAGCGAAATAAGCCAGAAAGAAAAAGAAAAATACCGGATGGTCTCACTCATAGCAGGAATCTAGAAAACTTAAATAAGGGACCAGGAAAATGAATAACTATAAGAAAGTGAAAATCAAAATCAACAAAAAACTATGAACCAGAGACACTTTTTGGGGGGTGGGCGACGGGAGGGGAGGGATTGGGGTCAGAATGGGGGGGTTGCAATTGTATGGGGAATATAAAAATAAAATTTATTATTTAAAAAAAAAAAAAGATTGATTGTTAGTTCCAGAAAGTATCTTTGTGCAGTGTTGTCACCCTAAATGAACTTCTTATTTCTCTTGTAAAAGTTATAATCTATTTCAAAGATGTGGTTCAATAGTTTTATAACTTAACTATTTCAAAGATCTGTTTCAACAGAAGTTCCCTATTCTGAATGTGCTATTGATCCTCTTTTCACTAATGCTGGATTCCTTAGGTACACTGTTTCTTTTGTCAGGTTAGATAACTTTACCGTCAGCAACCATCAGTTTTTAGGGTCCCATAAGAAGCTGCAAATATGGAACCAAGAGACTGTAAGTCTTCTATAGAAGCATTAGGTGACAAATTTTCTGTTTACAGGTTTCCAAAATTATAATCCCAACAGCATTCTGAGCCCTCTGAAAGTGCTCTAAGGCATAAAAGAGCAAGGAAGCTTCCTGAAGCCAATCAGTTATTCAGCTCATTCAACACATACAGTTTTCAATCATATTTGTCTTACCACAGTAATACTGTTGAATATTTCATTTAGGAAATTATGTTTTCATTCCTTTCTTATCCTCCAGTTTTTCCTTTTCTTCTGTTTTAGGTTCTTTTATTAATACAATTTCCTGCTGAATGCACTGATAATTACAGGTACTTTTAAGGACCTTTTTTTGTTTAGAAATGATTTTTTCCCTTAAGAATCAACTATTCAGCTTTATATCTGTTGAACTGCCTCCAACAATAATTCTTACTTCTTTATGAATGAATCTCTACACTGGGGGGTCAGGAATATTTTCAACTTCACAGCATATTTAGAAAAGGAATACATTTTTATGGCATACTGGAAATGGAATCTGGAATGAGAATGTAGATTTTCTTCTAATTGTTATTATATTTCTTTAGAAAATAATAATTGTCAAACTTTTGAACTAAGAAACTTGAAATTGCTTGAATTGCTTGGATGAACTTAATTTCTATGCATAGGTTTTATGTTTAAAATGATACACATAACTCCTGATTAACACTTCCAAACATTTTCTTTATATTCTATGTTGCAACCACCACAAAGAATCTATGTTACTGCAAATTGTAGCAAATGGCAAAAAGAGGAGGATTAGCTCCAATAAGGTAAAAACTCCTTTTTCACTATTAACCAGCATTCCAACAATAAAATCTCTTTAAATTGCTTTTCAAGGGTGGTGAAATTTTTAAAATCTAATAGCTTCTCTTTTTCTGCTACTGAAAAACAATGGCAATTCCTTCAGATGATGCAAATAAGCTTTATATACAAATGAAATTTTATATCAAATATCGGAACATAATGTTAAGCTATGTCTCAGGAATACACTTACTTTGCTAGCACTACTAACACTTCTTTGGGATTCAATTAACACTAATTAAGCCACTTCTAAAACTATTTTAACTTCACTCTCCTAAAGCTGAATTTTTACTCTAAACCCACTAACTGAGTTAGTACAAGTTAATATATTTCCTGATAATCATCGTACTTTTTAATTCCTAATTTATCAGTAGATTATGTCTATATAACTTTGGGGTTACATTTTTACTACTCTATATGGACACATGCTTTACTCACTCTCCACCAAACCTTCCATACCAATCCCTTACCCCTTTTATTTCCCCTATTTCCTCCTCTACTCCATCAGTGCACCTTTGATTAAATTCAGTGTTCAAAATGTCAGTTAAGGATAGCATTTTTTGAAGTCAATAAATATACTTCAACAAATCTTCAGTAAGGATCATGCAGAATAATTTAAAATTTTCGTTTTAGCTTATAAATCTTCTTTGGACTATAAACAGACTTAAGTAATGAAATAATTTTCTTCATGTAAAGCTGAAAAGGGGATACTGTAACAGTCTGTATTTCATTAGTTCACCATTTTTATGACATCATTGAATATGGAATTTAGAAACAAATACAAATTTTAACATACAAGAGATTCCCTGTGAATAAGACAACATGTTACTTGGAATATCAGTGATTTAGACTGAAGTTATGTAAGCCTTTATTCCTTTCCATTATAATCAATCCCGAACTTTCAGTTATGTATGTTCTAAAATACTTGCTTCTCACTTGAATATTTCATCCCCAGTTGGATTGAGAACTTATTTGCTCAGCAACTAGAGCCCTTCCAGCCATTTTTCTTCAAGGATTCTACAGTTTTTAACTGAGGACCATTGCTAACATTTAAGGTGTCTACAATGAACACCTTTTTCATTAAATAATCTTTTTGTTTTGTTTTGTTTTGTTTTGTTTTAAGTAGAGGCATGTTTTATTTGTTTGTTTGTTTGTTTGTTCGTTTTGTTTATACATGCACTGGGTACAGTCAGAAGCGCGGGAGGGCGAGAGAATTCACCAGAGCCAGAGTGGGGAGCAGAGCAGGCAGAAGGACAGAAGTACACTGCTGAGGGGAGCAGCGGGCGGCAGGAGAGGTCTGCGCACCATGTGGGACCCTCCTCCGGTGGCCGGGGAGCAGCCTGGGATCGAACCGGTGCCACAGAGGCCGCGCCAGCGCTCAACCGCTGCACCACGGGGGAGGTCCTCATTAAATAATCTTGCAAATAGGTGTTGTCTTTATGTCTTTGACAAATCTTCACTTTTTTTGCAAGTTGCTTTTAGTTACAACGCAACTTTTTAAAGGTACTAAAGTTAAATGGACAACAAACTTGGAAGAACTGCTTTACAAAAAGAGGGAAGCCTGAAATGCCACTTTCCATAGAGAAACCGTACTTCAGTTTTATTCAGAGCAAAGAATAGAGAAATTTTTTATTATACTAGAAGAAACTCAGTTATTGGTCTAGAAACTGTACTCAAACTACACATGCAATGAGGACAATATTCTACAAATACAAATGATTTGCAGCTTCATCTGTCTACTATTTGTCCAGTATTAACAATTATAAACAGAGCAGCACAACTAGCATTTGGAGTAATTCTTACAGTGTTACCGTACAGGCACAGCATTTTATTTTTCTGACCACTGCTTCACTTTGCAAAAGAGCTTACTCTTTTCAGCAGTCAATTTTTATATTGAAGGTCTTGTAAATCTCAGGATTTTTCCCCTTGGTAATACTGGCAAGAGTTCAGTATGTAACACCAAGCAAACCTTTGATGTCTAAGTAATTTGCAACCAGAATAAGTTCTTAAAGAGTTCCTTGGTCAACTTTTAGGAATTCTTGGTTCCAAACAGGGATATCATCTATCTGCTTTCCTTTGTTCTCATCATCCTCAGGAGGAGGAGGATCATCCTTGTGGCAGGCGCCCCACTGAATGATTTTTTTTTTTTTTAATATTGTTACATTAACGTTTAGTAGAAGAACTGGGTAATCATCTCCATCATCCATCCCAAAACTTCTAACATGATCTTGATAGTCACAAACTATTTAGCAATTTCCACATCGACTTCAAATATCTCTCCATCAAAATTCTGTAACTTAACTGAAGTCATAGTGTTCAGTTTCAAAGAGACAGTGGACCAGAGGCTAATGACAGCAGGGCAGCAGCAGCAAAGAGAAAAAGTGAAAGAGAGAGCGCAAGGTCACTACCAAATCTTCATATTTTCGAACAGATTAGCTGAAAATGGCAATTTTCCCATTTCCTTTACCTCACTCGTTGTCCTTACAGTATTCCATACAAGCAGGAAAAAAGAGAAAAACAAACCAGTGAGGTATCTGAGCTTTTATCATTTGTGCAATCCTATAACTACCTTCTTAAGCTTCTGAGTATAATGTCTATCAATCTCGTAAATGAAATATGTTCTTTATTTTGTGCTCAAAGATGCTTTCAAAACTTCAAATCTTTTGTTTAGTAAAATAAATGCTTTATGAAAACCTAAGAGAGTATTTTGTTTATTATACTACTTCACTTGGTTTATGCTGAAGAGTGAGGAACAAAAGAAACACCAAATTCAATTCTGAAATAATCTTTTACTTTACTGCCTAATTGCTGATTAAATTTTTACTCTACTATGTTTAACTCAGGAATCAGATAACTTTACAGCTTTAGTCAATAAATTACACATTATAATAGGAAAGTAAATATGAGCAAAAATTAAATTTATTTGACTATAAATTATTTAAAACACTAAGTTTTTTATTCCTTGAGATAAAGTTTTGTCAATTTTTAGCTTAACTAAATTCTTCTATTCATGCCAATACAAATCACACCGATAAGATTTAAGATTCAAGATGGAATAAATTTGAAATACTTAAGACAAATCACATTTGAAATTAGCTAAGGGATAACTTTTAATCACCTAGTTTGACACATACTTTACTTCACTGGTGGAAGAGTAGAAATTCAACACAAGAGCACCTTTTTCCACTTAGGATCATCTTCTAGAAAATGGTCAGATTTAACACCAGTCTCAAGAGAAAGCTGGGTTCTAGTGGATTAGCTCAGAGATTTGTTTGTTCCTAAAACCTCGAAGTAAGAAAAGGAAATTATTATCTACTGTTACCAGGATAAACAACTTGTTTCATTGCTTGAGAGGTAAACTGAATAAAGTATCCCAACCTTTTGAAAAGCATAAAGCAAAACAAAACAAACAAACAAACAAACAAAGCCCACACTATGAAGTTAAATGGCCCAGGCAGATAAGCCAGGGAAAAATTATTAGACACTAGTTCAAAGCTTAACTCTAATAAGTAATTATATTCTTTAATGTGGACAAATTTTCACTTATTATATCAAATGCTTCAATTCTATTTTATTCACAATATGTAAAGGCTAAACTAATAAAACAGACAAATTATTATGTAAACAAAAATACAAGAATGTTTACAATTACTCAAGTTTGATAACAAAATGTCATAAAAGAACAGTCATGGTATGTAAACTGTAATTCCAATTCTCACAGATATACATTGAGCTTCCAATATTTCTGAGAAAGAAAACTGTATCACCATCAGTGGGCACAGAGGAAAGAAAACTAATTACAAAGGCTAGCTTATTTTGCAAAAGCTAGCAAATTGCTCTCATACTGAAAATTATATTATGAAGAATCAGAGATGTAGAATGGAAAGAAATCTGGATATGAAAATAGAAAACAGGCCTCCCTGGTGGCGCAAGGGGTTAAGACACAACCTATGAAGCTATCCACAGCCACTGCAGCACGAGTTCGATCCCCAGCCAGGGAGCTACCCACATAGCACAGCAGACCTCCCCTGACTTGCCCGCTGCTCCGCTCAGTCAGTCCTCCTGTTCTGTTTCCCATTCTGTCGCTGGTGAGTCCTCTCAACACCCAAACCTCTGGCCTATACCCCAGTTCTTGTATGCATAAATAAATAAATCGTAAAAAAAAAAAAAAGGCTCCAATGTTGCCTTTTAGCGAGAAACACTATCCAAAAGATAGAAGACAATAGGGTAGTATACCTTTTCAACCTTACAAAGGAGCAACTACTTTCCTTTATACACACATACATGTATATATATACACAATCTATAATTTATTACAAGATGACTTTTTGTACTGTCTTTCAGAATTTCTTTCTAATTTCCCATGCATTAATAGAAACAGGAAGGGGTAGAGAAAAACAAATATCCATGATAAAGCCTTCATAAATTCCCTAAGACTATCAGTCATCTGTTGACAGACTTCTGCAAATCTTAATTTCCCGCCAAACAATCCAAGTAAGCAAACTAGTAAATGAAATGACCTACAAGATTTGGTTCAGTTATAGAAAGTCATTGCATTTTTAAAAATTAGTAACAAGAATTGTTGAGACCTGTTTTTTTGTAACTACCAATTTTCCTGTCAAATATTATATAATACATTTTAACAAAATAAAAATTACATAAGAAGCAATAATAATAAAGTCAAATGAAAAAAGTGTAAATGTAACCAACCAAACAGAACATTAAATTGCTAGAAACAGGGGGAAAGGATAAAAGCCTCTCTGTGCTATGTCACGGTGAAAAGCCCCACTGCCCACAAAAGGACTATAACTTGACCTGAACTGAACCCATGCCCCAGTGAAGTGCTTTATAACTGAATTTCACTATTCAAATGAATAATTCATTATTTTTAATGAATTTCCTCTGTTCTGTAAGGAGCTACAGCCAGTCAGCTGAAATCAACTGTTATAAACTGGGAAACTGCAGATAAAGTTTTCAGGTAAGTCAATTTAAATCCTGCTTAAGTGGCCTATTTTTCCTTTTATATTTATTACTGTTACTGCATATGGCCAGAGATGAAATTGTATAGGACTCATTAGCAAGTGGACACTGATAGCTACCCAGCATCCATTTCACCCTGAACCCTTCTTACAGCTGTAAATTTAATTCAGAGAGTGACCAGTTAACCACAAAATCAATTTGCTTCCTGGAAGCCTCACTTGCAGCTCCCAAGGTACACCAAACTGATCTAACTGGAATCCCAGTCCCCTCACCACAATGATAACTCAGAAACTTGGGTCTAAATTCAAGGCATTCCCATGATTTAAGAAAAATTATATGACTTAATTCAGTGAGATATGAAGCTATCGCAGCCACTGCAGCACAAGCTCAGATCCCCTGCCAGGGAGCTAGCCCACATGGTACAGCAGCAGACCTCTCTTGTCTAATCGGCTGCTCTCCTCAGCAGTGTATTTCAGTCAATCCACCTGTTCTGTTCCCCATTCTGTCTCTGGTGAATCCTCCCACAACCCCCGTAACTCTAGCCTACACCCCAGATATTGTACACATAAATGAATAAAATAAAACTTTAAGAAAAAAAAAAAAAACAGGGCTTGAAGTAGATTCAGAAGAGAAGGTCACAGGCTCTATTTAACTTGGGGAGCATATGAAACTATTCCAATTTTTTATTTCCCCATTAAGAAATTGTCCAAAAACCATCCTCTTTCTTAATCCCCCCATAGAGTAAGCACTTTATCAAATAAGAAATAAAATACCCTTTAAAAAGGCTGATTGCTATTACTAACCACCTTTTACAAGAGATAAGCTTAATTTTTTATCAAGAAGGCAATGTTTCCCAAAATAATATTCCCTAGTATCTTTTGAGAGCAGATAATTTGATTAATGAAAATACTCTTGAGATGACCAAGTTCAAAGTAAGCATACTTAATCTAACCTATATGAGTAAGAATCAATTAGAAAATATATCTATACTCAATAACAGCAAAAATGACAACTTATCTACAGAAATAAATCTAACATTTAAATACAAACCCATTTTACATGAGAAACACACACAAACATATTTATAAAACATTTTAAAGACAACTAGAAGTTTACTAAGACATTGAGAAAAAGGTGCTACATAAGATACACTGAGTTCCTCAATGTTTAGTGTCAAACCATAAATATATTAATTAAATCAATATGCCCAAAAGCAATACCAAGAAAAAAATCAGCAAGATTTTACATATTGTAAAAAATTAATAAATAAATAAAATAAAGTTCACTAGGAGGAAAAAATGCTCAATAGCAGTAATATTTTTTTTAAATAAGAACAATAAGGAGAAATTCAATTGGGTATATATAACTCATTACATAACAAGAGTAATCAAAACAGTATGAAATTTATATGAAAACAGGAATGTAAATCAATGGAACAAAACATGCCATGTTCAGAATAAAGCCATGTAAATACAGAAATTTGACATATGATAAAGGAGGCACTTTTAATCTTTAAGAAAGAACAATGTATTCAATAAATGATAACATAACTGGCTATAGTACTGATGTATTGATAATATTACAGCAAAATTTTAAAAGATTAATCATATATAAATTTTGCAAGAGAACAGAAACTGGCCTCACCATTTTCAAAGTCATTCTGTAGAAGTTATCAAATTTTTTCATTTTTATACCCTGCAAGCCAGTAATTATATGCATCCTACAGAAATACATGTGTATATGCACAAAGATGTATGAAAGTATGTTCATTTTATCATTTTGTAATAGCAAAAATAGTTGAAGCGGATAGCTGGGTAAACTAATAAATTAACATGGCATTTCCATAAGGCATGAATAAACAGTAAAAACAAACTAGAATTATATATATTAAAATGACGAGTTCTCTAACTTGTATCTAAACAAAATAGGAAAAACTAAGTGTCAATAATAACTACCATTTAAGCTTCAATATATAAAATGTAAGTCTTTGTCTATGTAAATACAAAGAATTGAAGTCAGGTGTGTGAAGGAGTTTGAATATTCTACATGGCTAAGAGTTCCTTCTCAGTTCCTTTGCTTATTCTTCCTTATCTCCCCAGTCTCTAAACATCGCAGCATCCTAGATTAAGGTCAAAGACCCACTGGTTCTCTTTCCATCTATATTTCATTCCCTTGCAGATCACATTCAGTCTGATGGCTTTAGAATTATCTACAGCATTCTGATAACTTCCAAATTTCTATACAGCCTAGAGCACATCTCTGAAGTTGTATATATAAGTATTTACTAGATATTTGAATGTCCAATGGTTATATTATTCTCAAAAGGCATGAAATTTCCCAAACTCCTCCTTCTATAAATTACAATTGTGTGAGTGCACCTCCATCATTCTATTTGCTCAGGCCTTGAAGTATTTTTTCACACCTCACATCCAATCTGCCATTTAATACTCCTAGTTTCACCTTCAAAATGAAGCAAAAATCCTACCTATTCTCATAACCTCCACAGCTCTAACACCAGTTCAAATCACATTACCTCTTATCTGCTTGCCTGAATAATCTATTCTCAAAGCAATGGCCAGAATGAGTCTGCTTAAAGACAATTCAAGATATCATAAATCATAACCAAGTGAGATTTATACCAGGAATGCAAGGTTGGTTCAACATAACAGAGAAAAAGCACCTCACAAAATTCAACACTCTTTCACAATAAAAAAAGACTCAGAAATGTGGGAATAGAAGGGAATTTCCTCAACATAAAGGGTATTCATATTTTTAAAAAAATCCAACGTTTACAACATTATCTAAAAGAATATCTAGGAGCAAATTTAATCAACAAGATAAAAAATCTGTACACGGACAACTACAAAACATTGGAGGAAAAAACTGAAAAAAAACAGCAATAAATGGAATGGCACCTGTGTTCATGGATAGAAAGACTTAATGTTATAAAAAGTAAATACAATCCAAAGTCATCTAAATATTCAGTGCAACTTCTATCAAAATTTCAGTGGCCTTTTTTGAAAGGCCAGTTCTCAAATTCATATGGAATTGCAAGAGTTCCCAAATAGCCAAATAAGTGTTCAAAATGAACAAAGTGCTAAGACACACACTTCGCAATTTTAACACATATTACAAAGCTACAGTAACCAAGATAGTGTAGTGTTGCTATAAAGACATACATATAGATCAATGGAATAGAACTTGGCTTCTAGAAATTAAACCATAAATTAATGGCCAATTGATTTTTGATAAGGGTGATATGTTGGGTTCTCAGACCTAATTCAAATGTGATATGTGGTGGCTTCCCCATACCAACAAGCCATTCTTGAACACAAATAGGGTATCTGAGAATTCAACTCAATTCTGATACTATCTTCCCAAAAATAGCATCATATTCCACAGGGTAAGGATTTAGTTTTCCAAGACCACCCTCCAATTCAGACAGAGGTCAAAAGCATAGGATGCTAAGTGAGCTCCTGAACTACCAGTTA